TTCATCAGCCCTGTTAGGTCCTGGTTAGAGCTGTCATGGGTGCATTGCAAAAGGTCATGGGTGCAAGGGACAAAGTGTATTTTTAAACATTTTTCATTAAGAATATAAATAAGTAAATTAAAAAATGTTAAAAGCAGCTGCAATGTCCATTTCATACAATGTCAAATTCGCAAAAATATTAGTTTTAATGAAAAATATAGAGAAGTAGAGTCGGCATTTCTTTTAGTATAAAAATCTGTCTAATTCACCACATCAAATCACCAGCCTGTATATGCCCCCACTAATGGGGCTCATGCCTTCCCTATGAATGAAATCGATACTGCCGGGACCAACCAGAGAGCTCGATATAATAAATTTTTAGTCACCCATATTATGATCGACCATTGCGTAAATTACTTAAAAACCGTATAGCAGACCGTGCACACTAACCACTGCGCCATCTAGCTGTCTATATATATAAAAGCAAAAGATCACTCACTCATCACGATCTTAGAAACTACTATTGCTAAGAATCTGACACCAGTAGCAACATACGGTCAGTAGCCATCACGCATTAAAGTTTAATGACGCCTTTAAGCACTAATTAATGTCAAATTTGTATCGGTAATGTCGCTTTAAACTAGGGACATTTTAATGGTCGTTTGTGCAACTGGCTAATAGCCTAGTAAAAGTAATTGTTAGGACAATTATTTAACAAATAAACAAGAATTTGAATGAAGTGAGGAGCTAATAATAAGAATACTATAAACAGTTCTTATTTCGTGCAAATTCTCCTTTATTAGGTAAATGTATCTGCTTAAGTTGTGCCATTTTCTCAAATAATTTACTTCTCTTTACTATAGATATTACTGTTTTGTCAAAGTTTGCATGGGGATTCTAATTAGTTGTTTTTGGGGTTGATAGTTTGCATGAAACTTGGTTACTACAAGCGGAGTCACAAATGTTGCTTTTTTATATATTTATCAAACTTTATTGTCCAGCGAATAAATGGTACAATAAGCGGACTTAATGTTATTACCACTCTCAATCAATCATTAGGTGGCATAAGGTGATCTTACAATTAACAAAGCTTAAAATAAACTACAAATAGGTTGAAATATTTTATACATGCATTAAACATTTTCACACATAAACACAATATACGTAGTATGATGAAGATCCTTACAATCGCTGCATAAGATAAGAATGAGGTTTCAGTATACTACATTAACATATAAACTACTTTTTATCCCACGAAATGAACCACGCAGGCAAAGCCGTTGACAGCTAGTTTATAATATAATAATATAAGGAGGTGAAGTTTCTCATTTTGTGTGTTTGTAGGGGGTAGTCTTTGGAAATACTGACCCGATCATGATAATTTTTTTACCTACGGAAAGCTACATCATACGCGTGTGATATATACTATAATTTACGTGGGCGAAGTCGTGGTAAAGCAGCTAGTGTAAAGATTTTCTTTAGAATATTAATTCTCATTTCGCACAACACAAATAACTTAAAGTGAATATTAAATAAATGATTGAAGCAAGCACTGACGGACGACCAAATGAATACACTCCATTAAGATTGCACTTAAGGGCAGGTTGTAGTACGCTCTGTTTCACATACTAATTCGTATTAGTTATAGGGATTACGAAACGTGATATTATTATTATTTAAGAAGAAAAAACATTTTTTTTATGAGTATTATCCGTGGCCGAGTGGCTCGCATGTTTAAAGGTTTCACTTTTCTACATTGTCTCGAATCTGGATATTGTGGTACCTTCATTTCAGTTTTCTATAATACTAACAAGTGATTTAGTTACTTAATTTGGGATTTGAATAATGTATGTCATGTTGTCTAATATTTATATTACTAAACGTTATATATTATTTAAAAGATTAAATAAAATATGTCCCAAAATATATTTTTTTAAATATTGTATATAAAAAACTGTACCAATATTTTCATATCGCTGCAATCTGAACCGGAGTACTCCGCCCGGACGAGGTAAAACTTGTCGAAAAAAAAGTCAATAAACAGAGATAGACGATGGTAATTATACGGAATAAATAATCTAAAAATATCAAAACATTATGAAATTTTATGTAATGAGTATGAACTACAACATGTCTGTATTTTAATATCACAAGCAGACTCGACTTTTTTCTCTGAAGAAAGTGCTCGTCACGGTACTGGTTGCGAGCTAATTTCCTCTTCTAATTAAATGTTATTCACTAAAAAACATATTATCAAACTGAGACGCACATAAGGATTACGCAAACGTTACGTTAATGCATTATGAGGGAACTTTGATTACTCGGTAACAAGTAATTTATAATTATCGTACGTGTTCTTTTTAAAAACCTGCCAAGCGCTAGTCGGACTCACGCACGAAGGGTCCCGTACTATTATCTATGAAACAAAAATCGGTGAAATGCGATTCGTACTACGTACGAAAGTTTCAAGGTAGCTAACTGCAAAGTAAAAATTTTTATTTCCGGACGGACAATTATAGGAAAATAACTTTTTACAATTGTTTCGGCTATAATGGTTCAATAACCATTAAAGAAATATTATAGCCGAAAGAAAGGGTGTCATAAGCAATAATTTACGCAGGCGAAGTCATTTTATAACAACTAGATTTGTTTGAGGAACAAGTATTTATTTGTAAAACAGCTATCATAAAGAAGTGTCATTGAAATCTCACGCTCTTAGATTATAACAAGTTTCCTGAACAAATTAAACATTACAATATGATAAAATTAATATTTTTGTAAAACATTATACAATCAATATAATATGTTTCATTTAATATTAATAAAACCTAATATAGAATAAATAAATAAATAAAAAATTAAACAACATCACATACATTGCTCAGATTCCAGGATAAGTAACTAAAGTTCCCGTATTAGTTATTTATCCTGGTATCAGAGACAACGGAGATAACACAACACCTAGACCCGAGACATTATAGAAAAGTTCATTTTCTACATAGACCCGACCGGGAATCGAACCGGGGACCTCAGAGATGGCGACATCTTGAAACCGGTGTGAGAGCCACTCGCCTACGGAGGTCGCCGTATATTTCATTACTTTAGATTGTTTGTTTGTATAATTTTGATAATTATGTCATTTAAATAATTTTAAGAAAATTTGCATGCTGTTAATAATAGCAAAACATATTGAAATTTAATAATTTCATGATAACAATTATCAAGTAAATAAAATAACTATTATTATTTAATATGGTGTACTTAAACCTTATTTGCCCTTCACTGTACTTACGCATAATATTATAGGTTTCAAGTGAAAACTCATGCTAAGGGCGAAGAAAGTGTTTATTATAATAAAACCACAAGCCTGTCTATCGGTATATCACATCCATTGAACTACATTTTACTATGCTGGAAATGGCTACCCAAATTGATATATATAAATCAATTGCTATCCATTACATCATCGTCTTCGTCATCGGTCCTTTAAAGTCCCCACTGCTGAAGCTCAGGACTTCCTTATGGGTGGTTAAGGAGGATGGGCCTTGACCCTCCACGCTGACCCATTGCGGATTGGAGTATATTTACAACTACAAATGCAGCCGGGACCGACGGCTTAACGTTCTGAAACACCAAGTAGCTTGAGATAATAATTCTATTTAGTCACCCATCCTTTGTGAAAGTTACTTAGCAAAAACTAACAGCAATTCATCTGTCTCGCTAAAACTAGAGAACGGCTAGACCCATATAGCTGATTCTGGTATTGAAATGTTTATAATAGTCCAACGAAGGTTCAAACTGTGATAGATGATTCGAAGTACGCCGGGTCATCTAGTATATTATTTATTATATATGTACAGTTGCATTTGAAAAATGTTATAACCTGAAATCGTCTCTGAAAACAGATAAATATTTGTAAACTCGCAAATTAATTTGACAGCAAGCTGCGTGAGTACTCGATATTCGTGTATAGCGCTGTCGGAATATGTTGATTGTAACGCTAATGCTGTTGCAGCGCTGTACTTGATAAAGCATTCTACACTGTATTTTATAAAACAGTAATGTGGTATCCGAAGCGGAATTAATAAATATATTTAAAAGACTTCAAAACCCTTAAAATTAAAAAAAAAACCATCCATTTCGTTAAAAGTACATTTCGCAGAATGTTAGTGTTAACATGTGTTAATATTTACCTACACATACAGAGGCAGTCAAAAATTAAGAGAAATTTTCCCAAAAGAACATATAAAACTTTTTTATATTTAGTGTCGTTTCTATCAACAAAGACAGTCGATTATTTAGTTAACTGATAGATTTCACTTGCTCACTCGTCGGTAGGTATGCAAAGGTAATATTATAGTGGCGATTGGAAAATTAACCACAGCAACGCTATTATCACGACAATCATTATCTACGAGTAGTGAAGTAGGTCAAGAATGGTGGCGAAGTATCACCACTACAAAAAAAAAACAACTTTTACAGACTTAGGAATTTAACATTACTAGATATAAGGTAAGATATGACGGGAAGTAAAACGATTATATCAGCAATTTAATATCAACATTTAATAAATTTAATTTCAAACATTCTGAGCAAAAGCCAATAATTTTTATAATAAGAAAAATGTATACCTATAAAAATATTTTAATATAAAAGACTTCAACGCATTCAAACCCCAAACGTAACAAAACATCAAAAGTTAAGTAAAGACATCTACCGTGCAGTAGCAACACTAATATTTGCGTTTCTTTATACAACAATCTAATTGATGATATGTATTTTGTACATTGAAAAGATTTATATTTACTTTTGTATTTATTATTAAGTAAATCTTTTGATATAATATATTAATAAAATTCTTTTACTATCCCTATGTCCTTGTTCGCGTTGTGTATTTGTGACAAAATAGTGGATGAGGCACATAAGATAAACGGAATTTAACTGTCACTGTCACGCGACGTGACTTCCTTCGAAATCAGTCAATACGATTTGGCTGTATTTATTTATTTTTCGTTATCTTCAAAACTTATTTATTTTGACTAAAATTGTTATGTCTGAAGTGTCTGAAACTAATAAAAATGAAGATAAAACCAATAATAACGTATCCGATGAAAATAAACTGGCGGAAGAAAAGCAAAAGAACATTAACGAGAATTTGAAACAACGTCTTCGAAAATACATAAAAAAATTGGGTGGTTGGTATCCTAGCTTGTAAAAAACCATGATAACAAGAGTTTAGTAGTACCTACGTTAAGATTATTCTCTTATTATTTTTGTTCTCTTTATATTCTACAGATACAGGAAAAAGTACAACCAAAGAGGAAAGTGATAAAATAGAAATTGAAACATTCAAACAACTTTATAAACCGAAACTAGAAGGTAACGAGGCTTCATATAAAAAAATACCGAAATTTTATTACAAACTTCCACGGAGTGATGATGTTTTAGCACAGAAATTAAGAGAAGAAACAAGGGCCCAATTCCTTCAGAAGAAAAGTAAAGAATTATTAGACAATAGTGAATTAAAACATTTATGGAGTCTCTTAGAGAAATCAAATGGAAGTTACAGTATAGTGAATAATGATGAGCTAACCATTGATTATCTACAATTCAAGAAAATAAGAGAAGAGGCTGGACCAAAATATAGGTTAGCAATGTTTATGGCCTTACCCATAAGCAATAATAAATGTTCTAAATTTATACAGTGTTTTGTCTTTTCCACACAAACACAGCTATGTGTAATTTAACAAAATGTATAAGTTTCTTATTAGTAAGGATAACAAGGATCGGAGATCTATGACTAATATTGTCCAAACCAAAAATATTATAACAGAACATTAATGAAAATTGGAATGTGACACACACTGAGCAAAATTAATAAGTATTTAAAAGAATTCTAAAGTAGTTTCATTATAATTACTATGCTTAATAAATTTCCAATCAATTTTAAAGCTTTTTTAATTTTAAGACTAAAAAATTAAAAGTTAAACATATTTTGCTTTCCAGTATGTCATGAAAATTTTGTATCTTTTCTGTAGACCCTACTTCACTGCAGAAGTGTTTGGTCGCCTTCAAGCAGCAGAAGGCAGCTTCGGCAGAGTGCGAGGTGTATCACTATTCAATTATATCATGAGAAGGGTCTGGCTACAGCAAACCAGAATTGGTCTTTCTCTTTATGATGTCACTGGGCAAGGGTACCTCACAGAACATGTTGGTAACACTACTTACTCCATTACAAACCTTTTGTTTCTAGAGATGCACTGAATAGTAGTTACAATAACCAAAAACCGTTTTTACAAGTTTCCGGTTGAACTTTTACTGAACCAGATAATCAGCCAAATTACTTGGTTTGCCGTTTGATTATTTTATTGTAGCCAAAGTCTATGTGCTCCTTGTAATATAGCGAACAATGATTTCAGAAGCAAGGAAGCTATATGAAAAATTAAAATTTTAAATAATACTTATCTCAAAAAGACTTATTTAAGAAGCTGCTATTGGAGTTAGGTGGAGGTTTTTTCTAGATTATTAATTAAATGATAGGCACCCGACTTCAATAGCAATTTCTCTAATAAATTGTTTTGAGATAAGTATAATTTATCCCTTTTTATATTGATATTTGTTGTATGAGTGATATTGATATTTTTTATAAGTATGCTAGGGCAGGCTATAATTTACGGAAGCAAAGCAATGGAAAAAAACAACTTTCTATTAATTAGTTCACAATTCAGGAAGTACTTGATGAACATACCTACTTACATAAAAATTAAATAATATTTTTTTTATCATGAGTCCTGAGGACGTGACTTCATTTCAAAAGGTATAAAGTAAAGGGATTTTAGTAAAAAAAAATTCATTATCATCTGCAGTACTCACAAATAACTAAACTGACTTGGTACTTGGTACCTGCTAAAAATCAAATAAATCGTTAATATAATTTTGCACTTGAATGGTAACTGCGCTTTTTCTATCTAGTTTTACTAACAATTTACCCAGAAATGAAGTCACGCACTTTGGTTTTTTAATATTGGTGTTTCAATTATCATGAGACACAGACTTTTTAACCACATACAATTTAATTTTTTAAGTAATTGATATCCAATCTCCTATTATACTGAAAATTATTATTAATAAAAGCGATATCTTTTTGGCAACCTTGGTATGGAATTAAATAGGGAATGATGGGGTAGTGGTTGGTGTACCTTTACGTATTTTATAGCTATAGAAAGAATTACGAAACTAGTTTTATATAACAGTATTATAAATTCGTAGGATCTCGAGAGCTACATCGCAGAGCTTGTACCTTCTTTGGCAGCTTTGGACGGGCTGGATTCCTCCTTCAGCTCGTTTTATGTGTGCACTGCAGCTAGGAAGTTCCTATTCTTCTTAGACCCATTAAGGGTCGGCCGAGTGAGGATCAGAGATGTTCTTTCGTGTTCCTTCTTGGATGATTTACTTGAGGTAAGAAATGTATTTTAGTATCTTTAAACAAGCTCTTAAATTAGATGCCAATATTGTCAAAGTGTCTTGTCAAATTACTTTTCCAAACTTTTTTATAAAAGCAATGCTTTTTGAATGTTGTTAAATGATATTAGATATTTTTATGATTATATGGATTTAAAAAGGTCTATCATAGTCTTTTGTACCATTCAGTTACGGGAAGAAGACTTACCAATGGAGATGCAGGAACAGAACTGGTTCAGTGCTGCGTCCGCGCTGCGCGTGTACGGACAGTATCTCAACTTAGATCGAGATCACAACGGCATGTTGAGCATCAACGAATTAGCAGGGTAAATATATATTACTAAGGTACCTGTACCATTGTCCTGCCTGGGAGGTTGGACTCGAATATTCCTGAGCCCTTCCCCTAACTCGAGACGGGATCCGTCCTATAAAAGGGGCCGGTCGAGCGGGGACGGCACTCGATCCCTTTCGGGACTGTTACCCTGCTTTTTGACCAACCCCCACTCTGGGGGTTGGTCCTCAGGCTATGCGTAACGCATTTCTCAGCGTCAAAACAAGTACCTACCTGTACCATTTAAGCTTATGGTTTAATAAGGTCAATAAGGATGATCACTAATTTTTGTTTGTTTGTCTGTCATGTAGAGCATTGAAGAATATTTAACACGTATTTTTTTCTTTTTTGTGTAATCAATTTACTATTACGGCGATACATTGAGTTGAAATGTCGCATGACGTCACGCTTTTGTACATTTACTTCAAAACTGGGACATAGTAAACCCTCATCTCTCAAATTGAAGCAAAAGTACTGAATAAAAAAAAAAAAAATTATCCAGTCGTCATCCCTATTCATATTTTGACGTAAATTTCAAAATTTCTTCCTATATACTTCTATCACTGTTCAAACTTTACTCACACATGCGTAACACAAATAGATTTAGCCATGTTTTTTGTTTACTTACATTAAATATTTTTTTGATTATAATAACAACTAAACTGTGTTGCGAAATGTCGGGTAAAATTCTTGCAACTTCACAATTTTTCTCTTGTGAAATTTTTAATTGATATTTTAGTCTTTTCTAAATACTAGGTAAACCTGATATCGTGGAGTATATATATACGTATATTTAATTACCATAGGTACGGCTCAGGCACATTAACTCGTGCGTTCCTCCAGCGAGTGTTCCAACAATGTCTCACGTATGACGGCGAGATGGACTACAAGACCTATTTAGACCTGGTGCTAGCTCTGGAGAACAGGAAGCAGCCGGCGGCACTCGCCTACCTGTTCAGGGTGCTGGATATCAACTCGCAGGGGTATCTGGACGCGTTCACTCTTAATTACTTCTTTAAGGTATGTTTATAATTACAGCGCCACTACTTTGGATTTTGAAATTTATTCTTTGGTCTAGTCTCGAATTTTTTTGGCTGTGTGAAATTTTCGAGGTACATAGTTTGGCAAGTTATTTTTGTGTTGTCGTCGTCAACATTAAATAAAACTCGAGTAATATTTTATCGACATCCAAATATCAATAGTATATCTCACTGTCGACCAAAGACTTCTGTTTATACTAGACTAGGTGTTGTCGCGAGAGTTCCTCCGCATATATTGCTATTGCCTATGTAACAGTCAAAAAATTTCCTTGTATGTTTAGGGTCCTTTATTTCTTATAATACTTTGCAATTATGTATGTATAAGAAAGATGGCCTCAAAAGCCGATATTTTTTTAAGTATTTTTCTCATTAATAATGTTATTTCCCTATCAACTGTCTCATGTTGAAAACAATAAAGCACATAATAAATTTAAATTCACCAGGCTATTCAGGAGCAAATGGTCGCGCACGGCGCCGAACCTGTCAATTTCGACGACGTCAAAGACGAAATCTTTGACATGATTCGACCACAGCATCCGTCCAGGATAACACTCCAAGATCTGATTAGAAGCGGTCACGGTCATACTGCCGTGTCTATACTTTTAGAGCTGCATGGATTCTGGGCGTATGAGAACAGAGAAGCTTTAGCAGCGGCCGGTGATCATGCCTGACAGTTGGGTAATGGTGACCGCGAGAGGGATACGCGGGCACACTTTCCGGATTTGATGAAATTGAGATTGAAGAGTCTAGATTGACTCGACTTGATTGCCTTGATTTAATTGACTTGATTAAGATCGAACGTCGAAATGGATTATAAAAGTCTTAACATTTGATATCAAGGTTCTTCTAGTACTTAACGTCTTTTATTACTAAAGAACTTCACGAAAAATCGAGAAAGAAAAAACGTTATCGTTCTTAGTAAACGCTAGTGGAAATAAATGTTAGAATATCTCGCTCACTTCTTAATCTGGGTAAAACCTTTTTCGGTTCCATATAGAAAATGGACTTTTCTATATTATTTTGTTTTTTTCTTTTTTTTTTTTTCATAATACAAGTGCTTTAGCTAATTAATTTGTGATCTGAGTAATTTAATGCTATGCTGTCTAGTATTTATTTATTTTTATGAAGGTACCACAACATCCAGACCAAAATGTTTCGAAACCGGCGTACGCACCATTCGGTCATAAAATTGTGTTTAAAGATCAATAGGCTTGTGTCCTACAAGTGAAAATACGGGTTTTTGTTATATCTTCGACAAATATGAACCATTTTAACTTATAAATGTTTAACAAAACAAATTTTAAGTCAATGATTTGGAAAATATTATGCTTTGAAAACTTGAATACTGAACAATATTCTGAATTCTATAAATAATAAAGAGCGTGTCTCGGCAATATTTTTTGATATGAGTAAGGCATTTGATCTGGTTAACCATCAAGTGTTGATAAATAAATGTGAACGCTATGGTATAAGGGGAAATACACTAAATTGGATCTCTAGTTACTTGACAAATCGCAAACAATGTGTTGAGATCATGAGAATTGATGAAAAATATATACAGAATTCCTTTAGGTCGACATATCAAACAAATAAAGCTGGCGTGCCGCAAGGAAGTATACTGGGACCCTTTTTGTTCCTTATATATATAAATGATATCCCAAAAGTAACGAAGCAACCTTGTATCCTCTTTGCTGATGACATTTCGGTCGTGATCCCAGACACAGACAAAAATGCAAAATATCAAGCTATTTTAGATGAAACAATAAAATCCGTGACTCAATGGCTCGATCAAAATTGTTTGAAAGTAAATATATTAAAAACAAAATTAGTACAGTTTTCAAATTATAAAAACAAACGGAAACCATTAGATATACGCTGTAATGGTGAAAGTATTGTGGAGGTGACTGAGGCTAAATTCTTGGGTTTGATACTCGACTCCCAATGTAATCAGAAAGCCCATATAAAAGCAGTTTGTACCCGAATCAACCGTTTTGTTTTTGCATTAAAAAAATTGAGAAAAGTATCTAATGATAAAACTGCCCTTACCGCTTACCATGGTTATGTGGCATCTGCACTGAGATATGGGTTAATAGCGTGGGGGAATTCAACTGATATAAATAAAGTTTTTATAACACAAAAAAGTGTATTAGAGCAATATGTGGTGCTGGGCCTGTGGATTCATGTAAACCTTTATTTAAAAAGCTTAAGTTACTGACAGTCACAGGTTTTTATATTTTGGAGGTAGGTATTTTTGTGAGAAAATATGCTAATTTATTCCAAAAAGCTACCAGTTTTAATGAGTATCCATCTAGAGACCCAACCAAATTATTACTACCCAGATGTGTAAGTGACATTTACCACAGAAATAGTTCTTTTATGTTAGTAAAAATATATAATAGAATTCCAAGGAACATTAGAGAACTTCCATTTAATTATTTTAAAAGGCAACTTACCGAATGGCTCTGTGATAGATGTTTTTATTCAATTAAGGAATTTATGAATAAATAATAATTAATGTAACTAAACATTAATAATGACTTAGTATTGACAGTAATAATGACTTAATACTGATTCTGCTTGATTATGACATAATTTATGAAAAAAGTAGAAAAATCTACTACATAAATTTGCTAAATTACATAAGGCATTAAATTAGATATAAAAAAATGTTACAACTTTCATTATAACAGCTATAAACATAAACGCACAAATAACAAAGATATTACAAAAAATGTCCAGACGGCCATACATTTTTCGCTACTGTAGCACCGTGTGACGTCACTGAGTGCCTTGAATTTGTAGGGAGCGTTTTCGGCCAACTAGCAGCAGTTCTACAAACACAGCAACGTATTTCCGAAACTATTAATCGCAGACATGCTGTTACTTCTATATTATTTCTCAAATGTTAATGGACTATTTATTTAGGAAATAAAAAAAAAAGTTGGCAACTAGCCTATTGTTCTTATAACACAACTGGTGTTAGTAAACTCTAGCGCAGGGTTTGCCATTATATTGGGAACGTCACAGACCACAACAATATGAAAAAAAAAAATGTGTGACGTATATATATCGCGAAAAACCACGAGTGTTTTATTTGTAATAAATAAAGACTTGAATTGATGCTATATTGTTATTATTATTTTCCCGATAATTATAAAGTCAAACACTATTTAATGGCACATCTACGACCTCATTAAAACATTTTAAACATATAATGGCATGTTGATACGTGAAGATTTGCCATCTCTGGTCTACGTGAGCGAAATTAAAAATATTTCTTTGACGTGTTGTGTTTTTGATCACACGAAGTCCGAAATGAGACGAAATATGAATCAATAATATCAATTCATCTAAACTTATAAAAAAATAACGTTTATATATTGTATATATTTAATAACAAGAAATATAATGATTGTTGCCTTACATACTAGCGAATAACATAGAATGATAATAATATAATCAACAAATTCATCAACAAGATTATTGGCAAAATTAATGGCATTTATAACAACAATAAAGTTGAATATTGAATGCGCTCATTCAAATTTGTGTTACTTTCACAATAATAGGACCGAAAGAGTTATTCTATAATATATATGGAAAAATAGCTTAGAAAACAAAATCTCTACAAAATATTTATAAAAATTGTACTCAAAACTATCACATTCATAATTTTTGGCTTTAATAATTATAAAATAGATTTTTATTATTATAAATATTCCATTAAAAATTGTTTTCATTAGTTCTATGAACTCTTAAATAATACTCATACATTGAATTGAAATATATTTCTTATAGCACCAAATACAATGAATATCAATAGGTATGCAACATATAAAAATGGACGCTTATTTCTTATGAATATAATATAGTATTCACTTTTCTTATTAAATGCAACATTTCTACTAACATACACAACATTATTCCATATTAAAATTTGCAATTTAATCCGGTGAAAATGCATTTTCAATGTTTTAAAAACTGAGTTAAGTTATAACATTATACAATAGTATAATTATATGACAACAAAATAAGATAAAATAAATAAATAAATGTTAAAATATCAAAACATACTATTCAACATGGACAATACTGGAGCCCAAAACTAACAAAAGCTGAAAAGTAACAAAACCTTCACACAAAAAGATCTGTTTAGGCTAAAAACTAAAAAAAGCTATTTTTTATTACTATTACTTATTTCTTATTAGTATATTATGTAGTGCACCATGAAACATTACATCCCAAGTCTAGGCCCCTCTGGAAAATATCGGCCATGCCGTCCAATTACATCTCTAAGTAATGTGACTGGTAGCCCCCATATTGCTACCATACAAGAAATGGAAAGAAAACCTATAACACCACGCGGACCAAGTGCGGATTATTGGGTATTAACGACTACAGACGCATCCGATACCAACGGCTCAACGTGCCTTTTGAAGCAATAGCAGGTAGAGACAAAAAAATTTTGGTCACCCACTGTGATCGGCCCTCGCTAAAATTACTAAACTTCATCGCACATCGAACGCATTAATAGAACCATTAACTCAATCTGGTGTTAAATCAATCCGTCCGATCAAAAGATCAGATTGATGTCAGATTAACCGTATAATGTGTCGATTGATGTCAGATTGAAACTGATCACATGACGTTTAGATAATTTCATTGTTGTCATCAAACTTTGATCTGATCACGATCCAGATTTATTCTCTAATGGCCGGCTAATACGCTGTTCCTGACTCATAACATTACCTTTTATTTATTGTATTTGTATGGTTATTATAATTTTAATGTATAATTATGATTACACAGACTCTTGCGCACTCCTATATTCGTAGACACTGCCCCTCTCTAGAAACTCGCTGTAATATTTGTCGGTCTGTTTGCTCGACGATTTAGAGTTTGGACGTCCGTAACCACCACCACCGGGAGAGTTCATTATGTATTTATCCTGCGTAATTATTGAAAAAAAAAATACTGAAAAGTTTTTCTTAACATATCATTTTATTATACAATTAAAATTCAACATAACATTTACAAATAGTTCAACATTTCACCAGCCATGAACCCCGAAATGGGCTCAGAACTATAACTATTCGCAATCTGAACAACTGATCTAACCATTGAGCTACCCGATACTCAACAGGACTGTGAGTGACTCAGTGAGTGTATTTTCATCAATAATTTTAAATAAAATGTAAGCTTTTTTCATTAAAGATATTTATCAGCATTGTGAATCTAGAAAACGAATCATAACAATAAGAAACAAATGGAGGTTCATTGCTCAAGCTTCTTCATGATGTGAAAAAAAAAATTATATCAACATTGAAACAAAATACATTACGATTTACATTTTAATACAATATCATCATCAGCCTTAATGTCCCCACCGAAAGACTTCTATGTAGGAGGTATACTAGAAGTCTTGCGATAGTTACTTAACTTGTACAGAGTACAAATATTTTATAGTTATTCAAAAATAATCTCTAGCGTATATGACACAAAAACTATTATAGTACTATATATTAAATATACTAAAACAATTTGATAAGCTCATCGATCATAATTATCGTACATATGATAAAAATCTGCAAATATAAACTTACCCCTGGATATGCAACGATAGATGTTTTCCCGCCTAAATTAATTACGCGGCCATCTTTGCGTTGCAGCAAGTTTAGTCCTCTAGCTCCAGGTTCTCCGCCTGTAAATATACTTTGGGTGTTAGATACTTAAAAAGATATTTATATCTAATTTTATTTTGAATAATGATTTAAAAAAAATATTTATAATTAGTAACCCCTCCCTTTAAAGGTAAAAAAGTTTGCATTACACTTGACTACTCGATAGAAGCTTATGCTATTCCTCTCCTTATCTATCCGTAATTCTGCCAACTTCGCATATCTCTTACACGATGTAAATAAACTCGAACAATTTTGAAGTATCAACTTCTTCCTACATAAATTTACCCACGTTCTTGTGTATTTGTCAAAGACAATTAACTGCCATTCTTAGTACGATACTTTGTTTTTATTCGCCAAATTCGACCAATAAAAAACACATGTTAGCTCCTAGCGAATAGCCAAGTTAAGTGCCACCATTAAATGGTAAGTGGCAACAATACCATTCATTCCGTAAGGCTGGAACGCTCGACGTTCAGTCAGTACTGATAACTGCACAGTGCGACGGAATATCAATTCGCGCGTCACACCGTCACCGCCCATCCACTCGCCTACAAAAAAAAAAACATGTATATTATTATAAAAAAATAAAAAAATACAGCTTAATATATGTTAACATCATACGTAAAAATATTTAATAAGCATCTTTTTTAATTATTCGAATTAACCGTTTTTACTAACCTCGAACAAAGCACAGCATAATTAGGATACGCCTAATCTTATAAATCGTCTAAACGGATTTGTTAATAAACATTTTTTGAGACAATTGTGATCTGTCATATTACGTAAAACCTAGCGCAAGGCACCACATGTCATTACTTAATTTTAAATGTCATTAGATGGTTCCTTATCATTGGTGAAATGCATTTTCACCTTAGGCGACTCCTAAGTTGAGTGAAAACGGGCATATATCTATATTTTTGGGCGCATAACTCTGTAACGTGATGCTTGAGGATATATTGACTACTATTTTTCTTTATTTATCAAAAAGGAGTCCGCGTGAGAAGTCAATATCTCTTTATCCTCTCCCCCTCTAGGCCCCCGTGGTGGGTCATGGGCCGGTCATCCTATTATTACATCCATAGGAAAGATGGGGAAATATATATGAACGTATAAATAAATAATAAATGTAATTTTAATAGCAATAGTATAACAATAATAATAGTATATAAAACAATGTAAAAGTATATAAGAAAAGAAACAAAAAGGGACAAACCCCTTTTATGACAAAGGTAAAATATACTTTAAAATAATAAAAAGGAACAAAATAGCAAAACAATAAAAGAATAAGCAGAAAAGATGGCCTGCTAAAACAGTAACGGGGTAAAAAGTATTTAAAAAAAATACTGTAATGGGACTGATAATGGTGAAACGTACCTGCACCGCCGGAGCCCGCCCGGATACTGAACCTGGCCACCAGCATGGGATACCGACGCTCCACTATCTCAACGTCAGTAATACGGGTATTAGTCATGTGTGTGTGGACACCGCTAGCTCCATGCCAACCGGGACCCTTCGTACAAATTAATACGTGTCCATTATATGTTGGATCTGATTTTATAATTACGAAAACAAAAACAAGTTGTGAACTCTAATAACACAACTCAAACCTCAGTGGTTTTTAGATGTTATCTTAGGGTATGTTCCGATATACACTGCGACCACTGAATAGTATGACGTCAATTTAGTATACTGGAAGCCCGTTCCTTTATAGCTAGTTATACTGGTGACTTTTTAAAACGGAACGCAGTCCAGTATACTGATAATCCTATTTTTGGCGCCATTTTCAAATTTGTTAATGCAAGGTGAATATAAATATAAAGATTCCCTCTTTTCAAAAGAAAATTGGAAAATTGTATAAAAAAATTATTTATCAATTAAATCCATCTTATAAATAAACATAAGTATTTTTTTTTGTTTATTTAGAAACTTATCATTTTCTGATTCTGTTTCGACTGATCACGTGATCAAAAGCACTGCGAGCACCTTCCCTCGAAATCTCCAGTGCTCACAGTACAAATATGGCGGCAATTTATGACTTCATAAATTTCCCTAGGGTACTGTAGCAGTGTACTGGCAGTCCATAACGGAACGGATTTTTCAGCAGTAAGACCACTGCGCAGTGCTCGCAGTGTATATCGGAACATACCCTTTGTCGGGCGGCCCACCAGTCCGCTCAAAGCGCACAACTCAGATTAAAATTTTGCCCCATCGTGTTTTATAACTTACACGTTCTGAGTTTCGAACTGTGCTTTTATAGTCATTGCACTTGCGAGTCGTGCACAATAGACAAAATAAACAGATATTTCCACTTTATGATATAATAATACTAATAATAATTCTTTACTGTAAGCTAACAGCGACCTCTATTTCTCTGCTTGAACAACCTTTGGATGGAGAGGAATAAGACGTATAGATTGTATTAAGTTTATTATAATGTAGTAAAATGATTTTTTTATTTGTAATAGTTTTTCATAGTTCTTATCGTAACATCATAGAAACTTGCAAAGCTTTATACCTTTAACCTTTATACTATAAAAAATAAGATAAAAATAAAAATTCAATCAACATCTTAAAGTTCCCTAAAATTGTTTCTTTAAAGTAAATACGCATTATTTCATTTTTACATGAGAGGTTGGGTCGATTATTATTTTTTCTTATATAGATGGGGGGGGGGTGTATTAAAACAGGCAAAAACTGTCTTACATGATAAGTAAATAGCGCCATTCGTATAAATGTAACTTTAGGGTGAATGCACGGTAAAATAAATATATAAAACTTACCGCCCCGCTGCCTCCAGCCACAGTTTCGTAGTATCCCCAACTCTCCTCGCCCAGCGTCAGATTGTTCATACATCCCTGAGACGCCGCACACACCTAAATAGCACAAGTATTAATATTAGTTATTTTAAGGGGCTTTGCAGTTCCTTAACCAAACGATAGTTTACTACGAACTTAAAGCGAGTCACAGTTATCACCTGGAATGCTTTAAGCACGACGTCGACAATTCTTTGTGAGGTGAGAACGTTCCCGCCCACTACGGCTGCATCATCGGAGGGGTCCAAGATAGAACCCTGTGGAATCACCACCTGCACTGGATTCAGACAACCCTGCGAACAAAAAAGTTATATGAATTATTTAATTTGTTAATTTATACTTTATTGCCAAATCAAAGCAAAAGGCGAACGCATTCTCAACCAATCCACCAGTGAGGATTAATAGAAATACGTAAAATTATTAGTGGAGAATTAAAGTATAGTATAACATATATAAATATATATTTATATATGGAAAAATCTAAATAGACATGTCAGATTACGGTATCAGGAAATGCAGGTACATTTCAGGTAGTGTTCTCGTATTTTTCTCTTGAAAACTAATCTATTCGTTGCATTTCGTAAGTTCAAAGGAGCATTCCATAGGCGTATCACAGTGAGAGAAGAAGGCTTGAAAACGTAGCATGATGAACAGGAGTCTGGAGTACCAAATTAGAACTGAAGGGAAGTTGTCTTTGGTTGAAGTTTGAGTATCGTTGATCGTTATACAAGTACTAAAGTAACCGATTAAAAACGTTAGTTCATCACTAAAAAAATAAGAAGTACTCTGAATTCGAATTCAATGAGAACAGTATGAAGTATCAAACCTGGTTTAATGGTACGTCGTGTCCGACCATACAACGCAGACAGTATATGAGAGCGGATAACGTTATGGCTCGCGGCGCGTTCAGATTGCCCCACACTTCATATCCTGTCCCTCTGTACAAAACATAAAGATAGTATTATAAGAAAATATAAGATAATAGTAAATATTTTTCAGTTATCCATAAGGATGTTTGTTTAGAATGGATATTGTAAACAGTGATATAGTCACGTGCACGCACACGCACACGCAAACACATACGCACGCATGGTTTCAAATCAATTAGATAGCATCACTAGCTGTATGGACCAGTACATTAATTAATTTAAAATTATTTATTATAATTGATCAATTTCGCATTCTCAATGCTGTACTGAAAAAGATTCTTAATTAAAAATGCTTAAAAAATCCACTTGATCCCTGGCTCACCCTGAAATGGGATTCGAACTCATGGCCTTTCGCAATCCGCGCGACTGCTCTAACCACTCGGGTACCCAGGACCTAACAGGACTGATCAATCTTTTAAATACTTGTTACTTTTTCGTTACTACAGAGCGTATTCTCATCAACCGAATAAATATTTTTACAAATATTTAAACTTTCAATAAAGATGAAAATTTCATCTGATCTTATGCTGGAACCAAAATCTTCCGTGACGCTAATAAAGCTTATATTTTTTGCTATGATTTTATATTTTTATGGTGTTTTAATGTGTGGTGTTTTTTATAATCTGTACCTAAAGAATCTTGAAGAGCCTAAAGAAGTTGTCTATAACTGATGGAAAGTTAAGCAGAGTAAAAATACACTTGTTCTTTTTTTTGTGGACGGTACCAATTGATGTGACTATGATGTCATTTATTAACGATCATCTATTACTAATTCAAGCAAACGACTTTATTACTCTGATTTTACCACTATGTAGGTAAAGGACCTTTGTTTTATCTTTAGGAATAACGAACTTCCATACCAACTTTCATCTCCTATTTCAACCCAGTTAACCTCTCTTATTGCGATGGCAGTTAACCTATATCTTTCACTATCATCTCTATCTCTGTACCAAATTTCATTAAACCACTATAGAGATACGATAAATCACGTGACACGACACAAAGATAAAAGTTATTCTCCCGATTATAATGTTAGTAGGGATTTACTTTATGATTTGACTCACGTAAAATCGCAGAGGGCGCTGCCTTCCTTCTCATCTAAAGTGACAGTGAGAACGATAGGAGTGCCATTATCCATATACTCAGTGGCCTTGAGAACAGTAGAACCAGTCTTGGCTAGAGCGTTCTTCGCTATTTCCTGTTCAAAATCGAAAATCAACCTTATTTCATATGATATAATGGTAGTTTTCGCTACACTTACTTAGCAGACCAGCATAAACCGCATTTCCTAGTATTTCTACTAGTACAAAGTAATATGGTTTTCAATGCAGTTGCTCATAAAGCGCTATTTTTTTAATCCATTGTAAACACCGAAAGTGAGTCTTTAAACACGTGTTAAATAAAAATGTACTGAAATCCTTTACTGCACACATGCTTAAAAGTATTTTGTTAATTTTTTTTTGGCCGAGCACCAAAGAAATTTTATAAAAATTGATGAAATTATGTCAAACTTTAGAGGCAAAAGTATTTCAAGGAGCCTAGAATGAATATTTTCAAATAAAAATATATGACACGAAAACATGTTCAAATGTCACGTTTCATTTTAACAAATAATTTTTACCTTTAATACATACTTAGTTTTATTAACCTATATATTTGTTTTATTTTCTCGCAAAAAGCATTGAAAAATGTTGTAAGAAACTTGAGCGTAAAAGGTTTTTCGAATTCATGCCAATGAAAATCCTCGCTACGCTCGTGTTTTCAATTTAGCCCTTATTCGTAAAACCTTACTTTCCCCACTCGTATCTTAAAAAACTATTATAGCATACCTTCATTTTATTATAGGTATATTTTACCAAGGCTGTATAAATAGTATTTTAATACTTATATTATTATTGCCGCTGGGGGGAATATTTCAAGGGACAAAGAAAGCGTTCATCAGTTGTCCTACATATTGTGGAACATGATGTACACTTTAGATAATATAAGACATGTGAAAATAAACCTTATGCAAACGTACCTTGAGCATATCTCTGACTGCTATTTCAGCATTCTTCTGTATATGCGTCATGTAAGCTTGTACCACATCTAGTCCATAGTGATCAATCAATTCTCCTACTAGTTGAATGCCCTAGAATTATAAACAATAAGTTATATAAGTATTTTGATGAACTATTTTTTAATACCTTGCTGGTCATTAGTTGGTCAATTTGGATCGTGATCAGATCAAAGTTGCGGATTGATGACAAAAAATTATTTATCTTGATGATTATAAGAATTATGTGACCCATTTCAATATGGCATCAATCAACACGGATTGATTTGACGTCAGATTGATCGTCTTATGAACTGACAAGAAATACTTACCCTTTGATTAGCAGCAACTTGCGCTTTCAAATCGGATAGATTATCGGCCAAGTTTCTAGTGCCCGAGCAACCTGGCTCGTTAGCGGGCTTCATCAGTTCTGAAAGTAAAATCTCTTTAGTTTTCAACCTTAATACTTGGAAATAGAGTTAATTTATGACAATCAAGCTTGGCGCGCTGTTACGGTATGTTTTTTTGGGTTCCGTATACGTATTTGAGAAACTGGTATGTGACGTAGGCAAACTATTATATTTATGTTTTGTGATAATTTGTGAGTTATGTATGCGGAAGATAATCTTATGAAGATTATATATAGCATATAATATTTGAGAGATGTCACTTGTCACTTGAATTTTGTAAAATAGCAACTAAAATTCAAAGTATCAGAGTTAAATATTAAGTTGGGCTTAAAAAATACTAAGGACAAAACTACTCTTTCGATACCTTCATATTGAAGAATGGCAGAATATCCGTTGGCAAAATTTAATTGCGCGTCACACACTAAAATCTCTGAATATATTGAATCGAGAAAGCAAATACCACCACACCTTTAGTAAGTTGTTCCTCATTAAATCTTCCACCGTCTACTAGCAGCATAGACTTGAAGGCAGCGCCCTCTTGCGTGAGAGAGGTGGAATGTGGCGGCATAGAGCCGGGGGTCAACCCGCCAATGTCCGCGTGATGGCCGCGTGACGCCACGAAGAATATAGGACGCGGGTTAGAACTGAACACGGGAGATTGAATCAAGTTGTATTTTTTTTATTAAATATATTTTTAGTTTTAATAATTGCGTACATAATTTCGTGAAATATATTTATTATTTTTTTAAAAACATCAACCATGCCTTTTCACCGTAATGTCTTATATAGATGCTTTACCAATTTGTGGACTAATTATCTACTCTAATCGTAAGCTCTTTTATCCTGTAACGTTTAAAGTCACAATCGCTTTTGGAAAAACAATATTATTTGAATAATCAAGAGACATAAAAAGAACTTGGTAACTTAAACCAAGTTCCAAAAAAACGTCACGACCGCAAAATTGATGAAATACAATAAGGTTGTGTTAATTTTGCAACATATTATCGGCTTTGTCTGTCGGCGTCCGTTTTTGTCGCTCGAAACCTTTCCGCTAGAGCGAGATAGATAACGTGTTCCTACCACCTTGAGGATTCCGCGACGTGTTATTGCACACCTGTTATCGTTATCACTCAAAAAAAATCAAATTCAATATGATTTAATCAATGTAGGCTGTTACAAGCACTTTTAAATGTAAAAAGCTACGCCATCGGTTCGCAAACCTACTTTGAAACCTATTGAGAAGAACCGGCTGATTTTTTCTCTCTGGCGGTTTTAAACGAAAGAAAAGGAGAGGGCTATAGAATCGAGCGATAATAACGATAAAGCTCGTACGTTAAAAACTTACCCATGAAACACGGGAGTGATTACAGTGAGATCGGGTAAATGTGACCCGCCCGCCTTGGGGTGGTTGGCGAGCAAAACGTCGCCCGCCTTCATAGAATCACCACGCATTTTCATCTATTTATAATAAAATATCATATATCCGATGGGGCTACGAAAATATACTTGTGTCAGGACGAAGAATAATACACTTAATATATTGTTAAATTCATATGTACATAGTCAAAATAATAAAAAAAATAGTTGAAGGAGATGGCCCAATACTGCCCCAAAGTTGTTCCATGTTTGAATACGAAAAACAAGATACTCGATATGAAAATGACAAATGATAGGCATAATTTACGCTTTTAACGCAAAATGAAGTAACAGTTCATCTAACGGGATTTAAAAATACGATATATAATTACTTCGAAACCATAGAAACCCTTGTAGTATGTTTAAAAATCAAAAACATTAAACTTAATAAAACCACAATGAACAAAAAGATTAATAGGGTGATGATGATGAAAACGTAGACCTTTCTAGATCAAATATAAACAGCAGCACATCAAGGAGTATGAGAGTATATGAGTTCGCGATCGTTGTTGGTAAGCAACATTCGCAATGGTCGGTCACGGGATGGGTAACCAAAAATTCTTGTCTCGAGCTCCTTCCGTGCTTCGGATGGCATATTAACACATTTACAGTCTTAAATACCCTCCAATCCGCATTGAGCTAACGTGGAGAACCATTTTTCTTAACCTTCCATAAGGAAAGCCTGTGCCACTACAGTGGGGACGCAAAAGGACTGATAATGATACCGAAACACAGCAGCTAATCATCGTTATCGATTTCAACTTCTGCTAATGTATTAAGGTTTGAAATTGAACTATGATTTTTGACAGTATTATTACGTGCCATTACCTGATACTGCACCGTTTCTTGCATGGCTCCCAAATGTACTGGAATATGAGGTGCGTTTGATACCAGACCGCCGTCCGCACCGAACAGGGCACATGAGAAATCGAGCCGCTCCTTGATGTTCACCGATATTGATGTTCGTTGGAGAACTCTGTAAATTTTATTATATTTAGAATAGTTGGTTCCCAACCTTAAGAGTAATAAAGGTATAAACAACTTTACAATCTAAAAAATAAAAGGTGAAAAATTATTTTAATTTTTTTTTTAAATAAGTTACAATCTAAAAATTTACCAAATTTTCCGCGAAAACACCTATTTCTGTCATGGCGTCGCTATGACTTCAACACTGAAACTAATGTCGTTCTATATATATAAGGTTTAATTGTCCAAGTTCTGATATCAGTAAGAGAGCCGTGACATCACGCGCTGTTTGTGGTCATGTGACGATCATATGAAACAGTCACATGACATTTGAGCAGTGACGTCACATTTCAATAAACAAGTACTGGTTGCACTCGCAACAAACTCGTTGACGTTTAATTTATTGAAATGTGACGTGATACCTACGTTGCTCCATCATGACCGCCCGCGTTTCAGTTCTTGTAATCCATCCACAAAATAGAACATGCTAGTTAATATTGCAAAAATAAAATATAGTTACAATCTATTTTAAAACACTCAATACTACATAGTTATTGTTTAAATATAAGTTATTTTTCTAATATATTTAATACCTAGCTTTCCGCCAGCGACTTTGCCCGCGTGATCCCTAGGGAACTGTTTATTTGGGTATCGATTCATAGCATGACACAGATATAATTACAAATTGAATAATAAACAATGATCGCTGTTATCATAGCATAGTTTTTCATACATATATTTTTGGTATCTTGAACCGTTTTCGCAGTTAACGGTTCAAGGATGAATAATTTTCCCCGTTTTTTCCACATTTTCCATTATTTCTTCGCTCCTAATAGTTGCAGCGTGATGTTATGTGGCCTAAAGCCTTCCTCGATAAATGGTCTATTCAACTCAAAAATAATTTTTCAATTCGAGCCAGTAGTTCCTGAGATTAGCGCGTTCAAACAAACAAAAAAACAAACTCTTCAGCTTTATAATATTAGTATAGATTTATCTGTCAAGCAGCCACCTTACCTGCCCATCTGCTCGGCTATCGACATAAACCGATGTGAGAAAATGCTCAGCTGTATAGAATCGAGGTCTGTTGTTACTTTCTTCGGCTTGCCCGAACCAATTGTTATACGAATATCACCAAACTTGGTTATTTCCGCTCGACAATCTACGATCAAGAGATTTTGTCCATCAATAGAAGTGATCGCATATCTATTACCGGATATGCTATTATATTAAAAACAGCTTCAAACTACCAAAGCTTCAAAAAAAAGACTAATCTATACATACGCACTTTATAAACGCATATACATAAAATTAAAAATAAAACTCATTATAGTACCGCCAACTGTATCATAAAACTCATAGTACCGTTATCTTTTTTATTCATTAAACTAGTCTATGGTTTTAGGCTGAATATGAAAAAAAACTGAAAAAATAGCGCACGCATAAATTACTTCCTTATAACCTACCTACTTTGTTTAATTTCAATTTTCCTATAAGTGAAGATAAAGAAGTGTATGAAACTGCATATAACCTAGGTATTAAAACACTCGAGTCAACCTATTATCAGATTCGGCTTCGCCTCAGACAAACAGACTCTCGTGTTTTAATACCCCTTCTTATATGAAAGTTGCATAAACCACTATCATTGCTTTTTAAAGTAGGTTTTATTTGATCTTTGAGGCTTAAGGTGCATTTGCCCTGTGTTAAAAAAAAAATATGAATGAATGAGGGTTCTTTATTATTCACACCAGCAGTAAATGAACAAAACATAATAATGTAACAGACAGTACAATTGGCGGCCTTATTGCTAAAAAGCTATTTCTTCCAGGGAACCTTAACATGATATACAGGATACCTTTACACTATTACAGCTGTTGCTCTATTTTTTTTACAGCATAGAACTGCTGGTTCATTGGCGAGCGTAACTTATATCTTGTCGCATTCATTTTTATCAATATGCGACAAGAAGGTATTTGGAAAATCTGTATGTACACACGGCAACGAGTCAGATTATCACAAATACTCAGTTTATTTTAAACGCTGCTCTTTTGTTTTGAAATGCGTTTAAAATCAAATGGAGAAAGGCAGATTTGTATAACCGGACGTGCTATTGATTGTACATAAAATCTACGGTAAACTTACCAGGTTCCACTAGGATAGTGGAGAGACTATCCATGATGATCGCCGGTCCAGATACCTCTTGTTCCGGCAATAGCTTCTCTAGAAGGTAGACTTGCGTGTCCTGATAGCCACCGTCGAAATAGACCTTGACAACCTTGAAAAAGGGTTGGCAGTGAGAGGGGAAGTATTATTTAACCACTCAAAATGAAATCTATTCTTCAACTCAACTACGAACAAGCTCTGAGATTGCTTTTAAATTACTAATCAACTGCTTAGTGATTTGTAGAAATAAAACATAAAGTAATAATATAGCCATAATAAAGATATATTACTGATTTTTGGTAAACTTTAACTACAAAAATGTGATAGGCATCTATAATATGTATAGATGTGAAGGGAAATTATAATTTTTGTATTTTTTATTCATTCGACCTAGCCCTAGTAGCATTGGGCTAGTATTTTCGGAGTTATGGAGCAGACGCATTGGTCGATTTATATAATTAAATAAATATTTTTGACTTACTCAATCACAAACACATTGTAATATAGAATAATTTCAAAATAAAAATATATATATTCTTATTAAAATTTTTGAAACTTACCTTTTCCGGCGTTGGCTTTATATGTTTACCGCTAGGCGGCGCCACTTCCGTTGGCACTTGGCTTAACCCCACCCCGCGCACGCGCACGTCATCCACGAGTACGTCACGCGATGACAACGTGAACCCAAACTCGTTCTTATACCTAGAGAAAGTTTTTTTAAATTTATTACATTCGATCAATTTTGCATTCACAATGCTATACTTGAAGATATTCTTAATGAAAATGCTTAAAAGCTCAGTAGCTTAGTGGTTAGAGCTGTTGCCCTAATTGCAAAGGTCGTGGGTTCGAATCTCATCTCAGAGTACCGGGGACAAAATGGATTCTTTGAGCATTTTTCATTAGGAAAATGTATTTAATTTATAAAAATTTACTACGAGTATCTTGAACTCCTCCGTAATTCGGAAGGCACATCCGGCTGCATCAGCAGAAACAAACACTTAATAATAAGTACTGGGCCTGCGTGGGGCATCACGCGTGCCAAGTGCGTACCTATAACCTATGCGTAACTAAAACCTATGCCCCAGTAGTTGAGAATATAAGTAAATTAGTGATGATGATATAAAAATAACAAGTAAACATTTTTTATTTGGCAGATATTTTCTAAAGCGTGATGTTTGAAGTTTTAAACATGCATATTTTAGTTGAGTAGATTAAATTACCATTTGGAATAGGAACTGCTTTACCTCTCTATAAATGCACCATAGAAATCTCCATGGCGGCAAGCGGTAGTGTTTTGCTTGTCAGATGGCGCCACCATCAGCGCGCAGTCAGTGCCCGCATAGCGCAAATGCAAATAAGGTTCCGTAATTATTTGGGATTCTTCAAAGCCCTGAAAAAAGAGACACATTTATTTATTCAGTTCTTCATGCACAAGTATACATAGGCGAACTTAATCCCTGAGGCATTCTGTACCAATCAACCTTAAACCTCTATTGAAATCCAAATAAACAGGTATACTTTTTACAATTGCGTACCCATAGGCAATGAGGTACATAAGCTTAAGTTGGGAAAGTTGGTTTTCATTTGTTGTGGTAGATAAAGTGCAATTTTTTATTTCATTACTTATGATGGGCGCCGAGTTTGGGAAGTTCATGTTCTGGCTGGGTTATGAAGTTCTTAAACATACTTTTTCATAATGCACTATAACCTCCCATTCCGTAAACCCCTAAGAGGAAAATGTATTATCTTGGATTATCTTTGTTTCCATGCTTCGGAAAACAAGTTCAGCCATTGATCCCGTCTACATGACCAGTCGTCAATATGCAATATCAATCAGAAGACCTGTGCACCCACAGTGGGGATATAAAATATAACATGCAGTCTATATATATATTATACTGCTAGTATAATCACCTCGGTAATTTCGAAATCTATCAATGCAAACAAACAAACAAATGTTTCATCTTTATAATATTAGTCTAGATATACTCTTTAAATTTATACACATTTATTTTGAATCTTATTCCACGTTAAATAATAATTACCTGTGCCCGAAGTTTATCCTTACATACTGCTGATAAGACGTCCAGTTGTCTGTCCAATTCAGGGAAGTTCTCTGGACAATACTTTAAAGCACAAGGCGTCTGAGCTTCATGTACCACATGGGCTAGCGCCATGCCATACGCTGACAAGATTCCTGATTAAATTTAATAAAAAATATATTGCCATATAATAGTTTTTACCAACTTAACGGTTATTAAGGTTACAGTTTTAACACCCTTATTTCTTGTTTAAAAGTAGAGTAAAATGCCAATTTTTGATAGCCACTTTCATTTTGTCAGCACAAAGAAAACTGTATCCTGAGGAGAAAATAAGAAAAAGATGATAACGCATCATCATATATTTAACCCTTTTTAAACCCCCTTCCCTCTCTGTAAGAAAAATGTAAAATCTACCAACCCCTTCCACCTCGTATTAATAAAAAATGACTTAATAAAAAGAAACATGCGAACCAATAATATTAAAATTGCAAGTGTCAGTCATTTGACGTAAGAACTATCAAGACTCCATAACTAACACAAACATAAAGACCGATGTAAATAAAGCCACGTGAATACTCACCGGCATACTTATGTATAAGCACGGTAGATATCCCTAGTTGCCTGGCGACAGAGCATGCATGTTGACCTCCCGCGCCACCGAAACATGCTAGAGCATGTTGTGCGGCGTCGTAACCGCGGGCCGTCGTCAATGCCCTGATAAACATAAATACATATTATAGTTTGCTTATTTTAGATACTGCTTAAATGCAGATAAGTAGGTAGTGTTAAAAGGGAAAACATCGATTAGTACTATAGCAGCATTAACGGCACTACGGCACTAACGGCACCCCTAACTGTCAGTTAGCTGTCACTGTCATATTGACTTGGACGTTTGATCAGTTTCGCGCCAATAGGCTAGCGGGCTGGCGAGTCGACGGTCTTGTGGGATCCTTGTAAAACTATTTGAATAGGCATGGTGATTATATTCTCCTAAATATATATAACTCAAAGGTATCTAATATGTATATACGACTAAGCAAGGCAACGGCAACGAGCGTATGTGCGACTTTTTGTCACGCTGACACCGTGCTTAGAGTTTATTCTCACTTAAGGCGGCTAGTTTACTCTTTGTGGAAACTAGTGGAGGAATGCGGCAAAGTTCGAGGAGATATGGGATTCTTGGAGGAGCTGGGGTAGCAGGACTAATGCAAACCCGATATTCACGCAAATTAGGCACTAAATGTAAAGTTGCGGAAAAGCCCCTCGTACAACATAACATAACACCATGTAAAGAGCTTATTTCCACTTAAAGACGGCTAGTTACTCTATGTGGCTGTGGCTATTCGACATTGTGCGTTTCTATCAAACTAGCCTATTTCAAAAATGGCCGTAGAGGAAATAAAAAGTCTTTACCTATTATGAACAAAAAGAAAACAAAAAAGATTCTGGTAACATTGCTTGCAATAACATAGTGTATGTAGCATGTTAATAACAAACCAAATAATAAAATGCACCTTATATTTCATATGACATAAAACCTTGCATATTCGAAATATGATCAGTCGCATACTTATAACAGTAACTTCTACGCAGAACAGATATATGCATAAGGACGATGATCGTACGATTAAAATTTATAATGAGTCTTGTTATAATGAACATAAGGTGTAAATTCGGTGTCTCCGTCTCTCATACTCAGCGGGGATCAGGCGCGTAGATATTGGTGGATCGCTCGATGGCGTGATGCTTGAATCATTCTGATTGGCCGACATTTGCCGCGTTTTCAAACTCGGCACATTGCACAGTGAGCCACATCAATTGTATCTTATTGTAATTTTGTGAGACGCATAACGTATAATATATAGCCCTATTATTATATAGCCCTATATTAAAAATATATTTTATATTACAATATAAAAATGTATCTTAAATATTAAGTTGAAAATTAATAATAAATCTCACCTAATAGGTCTACACATTGCTTCATTTGCAACGTTTATAAAACCCATAGCCACCTCCTCCATAGACATCTAAAACAAAAAGATTACAATTATTAATAATTATTTATTATAATTATTAACATTTTTTTTGGGTCTATGTTACTTGAAATGATGAACAATTTTATAATGACCCTGAACCAAGTTACTGTCCGTGACCTTGAACCCTACACCTTAGTTAATTTTTTAACGTACGATATTAATGTCGATATTTCCACATTATCAAGAAAGCCCCATTGTAAAGTCGTAGACCAAAAAGGATTTTTTTCCACTAATTGGGGTTAAACAGTCTAAAATAACTTTACTAATAGCATTATAAATATCCAACATACTCACTGACTTTACGCCGTCCTGTTTCAAAAATTGGTTAATATCATGTGTCATCTTTTTAAAGGCGACCTGTGTTGCGACGCAGTCTAACGTCTCATTCTCATTGGGTCCGAAGATTTTAGGAAAATATTCAGGCAACAAACGCCCTAAAATATATAATTAACATTATGGTATGGTTATAATATTTCATTTAATACAATATTATGCATTTTAGCTAATTTTTTAAATATATTTTTCCGATTTTTTAAGTGTTTATATCTTCCCAAGATATAACAGAAACCAGAACATTCCCTTGAAGGTCATCCCAATACGAGTGTAGACAGTAAACGAAGATAAATACATATTATTTTTTCTGCTAGTGTTTAATATACTATTACCTATAATCACACTTTCATGCTTATTATATTTATAATATTGCTTAAATAAATTATCAAAAACAAATATTTTATATTAGGTGTCACGTGACCGCAAACACTTTGATTGATTGACTTCATTTGTTTCAAGCAGATGCCAAACAAATGAAGTCTATCAATCAAGTTACGCAGTAGGCCTACTGGTTTGATATCTAATTTCTAAAACAATGGGCTACAGCCGACTTCTACTCGCCTAGTAGTAAATTAGCATCGGTAACTGCGAGGGGCCCGCCCTTTCTGTAGCAAGCCGGCCCTGGCTCCGCACCCGCGGACTCTGGCCCTGCCACGAACAGTCCGGACCTGAAGAATAACATGGACCCGCCACCTGCTGCCACTGTATTTATATCTGTATAACAATATAAGAAGATTTGAGAGAGAACTTGCTTGGTTATATTATTCGATTTTTTTTAATTTAATTTGGGATTATCCACAAATTCACAGTTAGAAAACTGCGTAGTTTTGTTAAGATATATTAAAAACTGGCTCTTTTTCCGTGACTTCGAATTGAGTGAATAAATTATAACATATATCACTCGCGTATGCTGAAACATTTTATCCTTACCATCCATTATTGCTTACCATCCGCATCGAGCCGCTTCTAGTATATTTACCTAATTGCGGTGCCTGTATAGTGACCCCAGCGGTGGTAGCTTCATGGACATGCTCTAACGAACCAGCATAACGAGACACATCAGTCGACGTTCCACCCATATCGAAACCTAATACATAACAATTGTATGAACAGAAAATACATATAAATATAAGACAAAATTACATGCACTGTTCAACAGTACCACCCTGTACTTACATCAGCGTAGAACTGGCTACTTTGAAAAATTAATATTTTGAAAAAGGTATTTTTAAATTAAATAATAAAACCGCTATCTAATTTATTTTTCTCTAAAAAGTGCTATTAAATAAAGGAAATAAAATTCATTAATATAAATTCTCCCGTGAAAACAATTAGTCACGTGACATTAAAAACCGTGACGTCACATAACAATAAACATAGTACTGGTGGCACTCGCAAGTTGCGAGTGCAACCATTACTCGTTTCGTTTACTGAAATGTGACGTTACACGATGCTCCGTCATGGCCGCCCGCATTACAGTTCTTGTAACCCACAGATTATAAGACCTAAGTTAGTTTTGCAGAAATAAAAAAATACTTACACTTTATTTTGAAACGAAAAATACTACATAGTTATTATATACATATTTCATATTTTATTGCTATAACTGTCAAATACCCAACTGTCACAGCAAAGGTTCAATTAAATAAAACCTACTTCAAAAGGTAAATAAAGGCTTGATAACTGTAATTATACCAAAAAATATACCAATGCACCACAGCCAATGCACCATGTACCGTAATCATCATAAATATTACGCAAATTGTGCTGAAATTTTTTTATGGCCTATTAGTCATCATTCAAATAACTAAATTAGTATCAGAGCTTCAAGATTCTGCCAAATAGGAGATATCAACAAATTTGAATAATAATCCGTTCTTTACATGTTAACTTGATAACTTCGACAAGATATTATAACAAAAATAACATTATCATAAAATTATTTAAGACTAATGGAAAATATGTAACGCCATAACCTGACACTTAAAAATATTAAAATTAATCTTAAAGAGAGTTGATAGTGATTTTTAATTTTATATTTATGAAAATACATATTAGTTTTTATAATTTGCTATATTTATTACCTATAATAGGTAGTTTTGTTTCTTTCTGGTATGACGTCAACGCATATCCAACAACACCTCCTGCTGGCCCAGATAAAATGGCTCGAGAACCATTGAATCTGTAAGTAAAATAAAAAAAACCACTTGATATAGAATCAATAATATTAGAAAAAAAAATAGAATTTGTAAACAAAGTATAGCATGATAGGATTATATATAGGTATATAAACTCACAAATTCATAGGTGTTAGACCGCCATCGGACTGCATGAATAAGACATTGGTGCCTCTCAGTCCGTCAGTGAAGCCGCCAGCGAAACTCTTAACGTAGTCCCGTATATGAGGGGTGAGGTAAGCGTCCGCGGAGGCAGTGTAACCGCGCGGTGCCATCCGCACCATTGACGTAACGGTGTGCGATAATGATACTTGAGTAAACCCTGAATAAATAATATTAACAAAATAGATTAAACTCGATATAAAGAAAGTCTGGCTGGCGCACGAAAAGTTTCGTACCATTTTTTTTTTTTTTTCAATATGGACTTGTATCTATAAAACACTTAAATAATCAATCGTGTTTTTGTGTGAGCCCTATTTAAATACTAATTTTATTCTGTTTTTATGATGTTATAGCTATCTTGGTTGATAAGATACAGTCATACAAAAAATAATTTCAGTATTTTTATTATTATAATAATCAGAGGTCGGAATTAGGTAGAGTTATTTATGTACTTGCATTGAAATGTTGATATTAATGTGGACCTTCCCGGGATTTCTATTGGACAATATTGGACATCTTTGGACATCCGATGTCATTGATGTAAGTTTGGCAACGTCGTGCGTGCAGTAGTTTAAATTGTGTAAAAGTAAATAACTTTTTATTTAAAAAATCAAGGGATTTTTTCTGCTCTTTAAAATTAATCTCGGGATTTGAGTCATATCCACTTTATTCTTTCGCTGTATGAAATCAGTGTAAGTACATGAATAACTCTACCTAATTCCGACCACTGATAATAATAAATTAAAAATCACTTAATTATTTAATTTACATAACAAGTTCCTAAGCTTGGTGTGTCTTTTAGCATAGGTCTCCATCAACTCTATCCAATGGTCCCTGTCTTGGGCTTTCCTGAACCAGCAGGGTTCAGAGATTATATTTGATTTTTTTTTTTCTTCAACTTTATAAAATTTGACATATATAGTGTCTCCAAGAATAATTTCAAGACGTTTTGAATATTGTAGTAGAGAAACACAGAATTTTACCCTATTCTGCAAAAGAATGTCATGAAGGTATAAATAGATAGATGGATATAATGTTAATAGCTTAACTTTTATAATTATTTCGAACTTACCTAGGTCAGACGCTATTTTGCCTACTCTCAGTTCATGATCGTGGTAAGTGTAACTATGTGCGAGCACAACTGCAATACTCTCTATGCCTTTCTCTCTCAACTTCAGTAAGTCTTTCTTGACTGCTTCCTCTTCGACATCTTTCATCACTAACATCTTCTCCCCAGTAGTGCCAATGACTACCTTCCAATCACCTGGTTTTTCCATTTGACACCTGTCTTCTAAAGCCGGGATCACTCTGCAATCCACCTCAACAACATCCTTATATAAGACACTAGGTCTTTTAATATCCTGGAGAATATAAAAAATTACTAATGCATTAATTATCATCAGTTTATAAATTTTCCTGGTGTTGAAGCTTAGGCGTCCCAATAAGGATTGGTAGGCATTAATTACTCTAGATAAAAAATTTTTGGTTACCTATCTAATGACCGGATTTTCACAAGTTGCATACCTATTTATGTATATCTTCTTGATATATAAAATCATCTTTTGTATGCAAAATAATATTCTATTTTTTCAGAAAAACGCAAGACTGTATAAATATTGTGATCTTATTCTTGTACTTAATGCTGATTGCCATGAAGCCAGTGGCGGACTAAGGTAGGAGAGAAGGCTGGGGGGGGCAACCCCGGGCCTACAGTTCTAGGGAACCTCCAAATACACAGCAGTGATCAAGCAACATCATAAATTTATGCACCGGGAGAGGAGTACAGGATGTGGTTGGAAAAAGTTGTCGCCTATTGCCGCTTCGGGTCTCCAATGAGGTTAGTCCATCACTGCATGGAGGATAGAATACTCATGGCAAAAAGAAATAGTAGAAATAAAACTTATTTATTCAAAACTTTTCTAAATTACCAGCTGAAATAAATGTGGTCTAGCCTGATTGCCTATGAAGAGCAAGTCCTTAAATCCTTTATTGATGACCAGCGCCATTTTAGCACCCTTCCTCTCTAGCAAAGCATTTGTGGCCACAGTGGTACCCATACGTATTGACTCTATCAAAGAAGAATTGACCTTGCCATCTTTGTCTAATGCATTGCCAGTTTCCTAGAAAAATAAAGTCATACAAATATAGTATTCATAATTATATAATTATGTGAATCTTACAATTTTTAAGCCTTAATGGGTTTTATAATTAATTTCTGAAACTCTGTTTTCTTTTCTTATAATTTCTAATTAACCCTTAATTAGCAAAATTAAGAGAAAAAATCTTAACAGTAGTTTGAAAAAAATTGTTTGAATCAATTTGGATTCTCTTTAATGTAACTGTAGAATTCTGTCATATTATAGTCTACTTGACACTGTAAAATTGAATCCACCATCTTTGCAAGCAGTTGGAAATTTTAATCTCTTGTCAAGAAGTTGCTACAGTGAATTCAATCTTAACTTTATGAGTTACCTCATGTAGTATCCTTCTTATGGCTTCTCTTGGTGCATCTTCATAATTTTGAGGATCAACGGACAGTAATTTCATTACCCTAATTTTACCATTGGGGCAGCGGGCATAAACATCTGTGAAGGTACCACCTCTGTCTATGGCAAACTGGAAACCCTTAGGAGGACTCATGTCGAGTCTCAATTCAAAAACTGTAATTAGAAAATATTGTCAAAATTAGTTAAGAAATCAAAAAAACTTGGCTGGGTGTCTTAAATTGGGTGAGCAAAGTTGAATTAAAAAAACTGCATGATTATAAAGTAGTAATTAGTATACTTCAGAGTATGATTTCTATCACTGGTCAAATAGAGGAAAAAAGTAAAATATAATTGTGTATCCTTATCACCTGTTTACTTGATAGTTATAGACATAGATAATTTATAGATAAGTATACAACAGTTTCTTGTTATAGAACAAACAATATTTGATCTGCTGAGTTCTGAGTTCATTTGTTTAAAATGGGATTAAATTAAGCATTGTAGTTACTGATAACAAATGTCACCCTATTACCTACATAATAAGATTCAAAAGCTGTAAAACTTCTAAAATTGAAATCGTTTATTTTAATATTCATATTTATGGTTATACATTAAATTTTACCATTATAGAAGGAAATGTCAGATTATTTATTTAATCAATCAATAAAAGACAAAATAGACAGCAAGACATGCAGGCATCTAAAAGTTTTTTAAAATAAATACCTAATTAATATCAATAAAAGCTTTATACCTTTGAATGAAAGTACTTTAATATACTTACTCAAGTCACCAAATAAATTCCGCGTTTCTATCTTTATAATAATAATATTATTTGCACAAACAATAAATATAGGTACATAATTTCAAAACAAAAACTTTACATCCCCTCGTTCACAGAACAGTCCGCAATAGTTAAAAAATAATTAAATGAAAATTGCGTGTAATGGAACGTTCCAGAAATTAGTAACGTTCAAAGAATGAAAAATAGGTAAAAAAAATTAAACTTTAGGTAATTTTTAATTCAAAATATAAGCGAAAAGATGAATATGAGATAAATTCATTAGGAGATTAGTGATATTTACTATCTTTAATAAAGCTTAAAATGTTCATATTTTTAGATTTCATTTTAGGAACGCGGCAATAAACATAACCTCACTTCGATCGAACTGTCAATCAATGTTTATAAAAAACTTGCACGTCGTCGCCTTCGAAGTTTATGTTTTGTTTTAATAATTTTATTCTAGTACGTCAATTAACACTCGGTGCTTACCTTAGGAGAATGGGCCGCAGAAATCGGAATGTTAATAAGTTCGCTCAACGCAAGCGAGAGCGTCGAGAACAGGTAAATTATTATTTATTATAAACATAACTGATCTTTTCTTTATTTTCACATATTTTATTTGTCGAATTATAGGAAAGAAACCCACAAGAGAAACCTGCTAGTGACACACGTAAGCACTATGAAGATATTGTCAGAGAAAACGCAGCTTTTGAAGAATATTATAAAGTAAGTTGACACCTGACTGTAGGCTACTTTAAGCAAATTTGTCCACGACATTTGAAGATACAAAATATTTAATAATAGTATTCTCAATGAAATAAACTTTTATTTGATGGAATTCAGCAGATAATCTTGCAAAAGTACAAAGTAATAACTATAAAACTACCACTTGTTCAAGTTAACATGTTAAGAGTGTTACATGCGTCTTTAAACTATTAAAGAACAATGGCCATCTGCCTAACATGCTTGTAAAATCTAATAAAACGTAACTTGATGAAACATATCTTATTGCAACTAGAACTAAGAAAGATTAAATATATTTTTAAAAGCTGGGTGTATCGAGTAATTGTGTAATATGTTTGTGTGGTTATGTCGTATATTATTTAAATGGTGTCATTTTGAGTTAGAGATATTACAGTTGAAATATGTTGAGCACATGTCATATAATGCCTAATCGTAGTCCTGGAAGTGCATACTTTCTCATAATACTTCAAACTTGCTACATATCTGATAGGTTATTATTATTCACTGTAAAAAATAAAAACATTTTTTGTGAACCAATGAACCTCCAAAAAAATAAAAATAAAATTTTTGAGATTGCTTTAAATAACTCTACTTTTCTATCTTATTCTATAAAGTATACCTATAAAGTAGTAGTGAAAATACTAATTTCAAAAGGTTATAGCAAAACAACATGTTGATTTTATCTTTTCTTTATGATAATACTCTAATGAATACCACATTCTGTTCGTGTCTGGCCCATCCAAGATACCAAACTGGTCATTATATGAGCACAACATCCCAGTGTGCATCAACCAACAAGACAATTAAAGCAGTATTCTCTTATGCCATTTAACCTGAATATGTCATTATTAATTAAAATGTATGCATAATATTGTTTCCTCCCAATAAGTCTCGACTTAATTCTACCCCTTATAATTGAGACTTCATTTATATTTAAGTCTAATTCTAATAAATCCAGAGAATCTGATATTTCTCTACAGACCTCAATTATATACTGCCCATTGAACCTAGTATGCTCCCCATAATACAGAAGATAATACAAAATCGCACAGAACACAAAATCGCCGCCAAAGCTTCAAAACGGTCTGTGCAGAAACATGTCTACACACAAATAAGGAGGTCGCAATCGATTCATTACTGTAATATCGATTTTTATGAATAATGTTGGTATATAATGATTACATTCAACTTACATTACATTTTGGTGATAGTTCCATCTTGGTAACAAGAACTTTTTTTTCGTAGTCCATTTTGACCATTGTTCTTTGATGGAAATATATTATGTCGGAATTAATAAATAAAAACAATCTTGTTATTAGTTATTGTTAATGGATTTTTCTTAAATTATGAATTTTTGTAAAAAATACACATTTTTAAAACATTAATATTGATCAAATATAATAATTAGAACTTTATAAAGTGTTTAGTATTAAATACATCTATACTATAGATGCTTAAATTCAATTTGTCATTATAATTATATTCCATGTAATTTTTTTTCAAATCCATTATTAAAACTGTATTTAAACTGCAGGATTAAATAATGTTTTGAATAATTTTAATCGGTCCAGTCTTTGTCGCTATTATAAATACATATCTTATATTGGTTAAGTACACGAAAATGTTCCATTTTGCTGCCTCTACTAATACTAGATGATGCTGTACTTTTAAAATGAGATTTGTATTATGTTTGTAGTCTTTATTTTTCCATATTTTTTTATCAAACGGAGTAGTTTTCGTTTTAATTGTTGTGTTTTTTTAAATGGCGTAGATTTATGAATACATGTGTTTTTTTTGCAAAATAATTATCCTAAAAAACCGGCCAAACGATAGTCAACTCATGCACGAAGGGTTTCGTACTGAAAACGAACAAAAGAAATCACGTTTGTTATATGGGAGCCCTCTTAAATATTGATTTTATTATGTTTTTTATTATTTGTTATTAATGCGGTAACAACTACATCATCTGTGAAAATCTTAACTGTCTAAATATCACTGGTCATGAGATACAGCCTGATAACAACAAGAAAATCACATTTGTTGTAAGGGAGACCCTTGAATATTTATTTAATTCAATTGTTATTCAAGCGGCAACAGAAATACGTCATCCGTGAAAAATTCAACTGTTAAATTCTGACAGACCATAAGATTACAGCCTTGTGACAGGCAGCAGTCTTAGTATAGGGTTGTCGTTTTACCCTTTTGCTATGGAAACCTAAAAATTAAAGATGCTGCCGAAAACCACTATTCCACGCGGACGAAGTCGTAGGTATAGCTAGTAAATATATAATTGTGTACATAAATAAATATTACTTACTTATCTTATATATCGCACACCTAGATCTAAACTGAGACAACTCAAAAATTTGAGCGAGTTTTGACTTAGTACAATAATCAAATACTCGGTGATCATACGCATCTATCCAACATAACAGATTCAATAAAGGTTCGGGGATGAGCCGCTAGATAACTTTAGCTTTTTTTTTTGTTGAATGAACAGTGGTCGCGCTCCTGCCACGTAAACAAATGTATTGTCAGACCTCCAAATTAGTTTTTTGAGTTGTCTTAGTTTAGATCTAGGTGTGCGATATATAAAACTTAATATTATATAAACTGATAAAATTTAAGAAAATATATAAATGTAATTTATTAATTTGTCTTACACTAAAGACAAACGCATTGCGTTAAATATAAAATATTTTCTGAACATTAATTGATATAATAATAAATAATATATTTTTCAAATTCTTTTCAGATATCTCCATTAGTAACAATTAAACTTAAAACTATTGCTAGTAAAAATAATAATTTAATTTCTTTCAATCTAATATACTTCATTTATTTTAACTTAATTTACTTCACTTTAGTAATTTAATAGCACTAACTAACAGTCGCGCTTACCACAGTAACGTCTTTCTAGCCAGTTTGTAAATGTGTTAAAATTTTAGTGTGGAATTCGGCATAAGTGCCCTTAGCTGTAATTATCAAGAACTACAGATTTCCTTTTTAACATAAAACTCAAACTCACCACATTTTACAGTACCTACAATCAAACACACGCGGCAAATAATTTCACCACTACCACCAACTATTATTTAGCTATATATTGACTAGTATTTGCTTTTGCAAAAGATCCTTAAGAGTAATTAGATTTATGGGTAGTGCAAGGTATCTTAAAGTTACTGAATGGGAGTAAAGTTGCTCAATATTGAACTTTTACATTTATTAATATTTTTTTAGACTCAAAAAGTGTGTCCTGAAGAAGAATGGCCAACCTTTATGAAGAGTCTGAAGGAGAATCTACCAACCGCATTCCGTATCACAGGTTCTAAGTGTGAAGCTGCCGCTTTAATGAATATTGTGAAGAGTGAATACTTCTCTGAGATACTAAATGTGAAATTACAAGCAGAAGGTCAAGAAGGAGAGGAAATTAAACCGATAAATTTGTCATGGTATATATATTTAAATAAATATAAAGATCATGACAAAACACCATATAAACAACCAGTTGAACAATCGTCCATTAAAATTATCATTAGTTTAAAACTTTATTCCCCCATGCAAATATGACATTCAGTAGAGCTTAAAGGCGTCATTAAAAGCTAATGGACGTTTGTGCACTAGCTTTTAATGACGCCAAAAGTGCCCAAAAGTGCTCAGGTTTAAAGTTATGTAGCTAAGGCACTTGGTTTTTATGGATATCTGAAGGTCATACGGCACCCAGAGCCGATTAGATATAGAAAATTTTATTTTTCAATATGGACCCGAACCCGGGAATTGCAGAACCTTTAAATCGGTGTGGAAGCCATTAAGCTTGTACCTGTAAAACATCTTCTCATTTTGTGACAAACTATGGAGTTATTGATCAGCTCCAGTTTCTTATATGTATTCAATTGACTATGAGGCAAGGCAGAGATAATGTTTCAGTGGTTAAACAAATAATTTAAAAAAATACTTCAGTGATTCAAATAAAAATTCACAACAATCCTAGGTACCCAGGTGGTTTGGCATGGCAGCTTCGCCTTTCCCGCACAGACATCCGTCGAAGTGAACCTCTGTATAGGCTCCACAACTTCTTAGTGGCAGAGACTGCAGCAGGTGGGGTGTCGAGACAGGAAACTGTCTCTATGATACCCCCTGTTGTACTTGATGTCCAACCACACCACAAGGTAAACACGTGGTCAATTTTCAAAATTTAACGCAATCATATTTAAAGGTGTAACGATTGCGGTAGCGATCTATGGAATTACGTAATATTTAAAGTCGCAGTCGTTTTCGGAACGTACGACAATTTGAATGATCAAGATATATATTAAAAACTAGTAACTTAAAGTAATATTTGGCATCTAACGCTTGCCTTGGACAATTCTAATTAACTTCACGTACAATAGCGTTAATCCAATATTTTTTCGAAAAACGCTGCGATAGCAATCGTAATCATATGTCAAAAAGTTGAAGCTTGAAGTTCGTGAATATCTTTAAAATCTAGAACGACAAGGCATTGGCATACATTTTAAAATTAGACAGTTACACCCCAAATTCATTGTTCAATGCAGGTATTGGACATGTGTGCAGCACCAGGCTCAAAAACTGCACAGCTAATAGAGTTCTTGCATTCAGATGAAGAAAGCACTCCTACAGGTATGGTTTTTTATTTAGGTATAAAATTAATAAAGTATAGTAGTTGGTATATAGAAAAAAATTGGTATTGGTAGAAGATATTTTTTCCTATGATTTATTTTATATCTCCGATGCTTCTATAGGTATATAGTATAGTTAATACATGGAACAGCACATCGACAATTGGTAGTTAGCTCATTTTTTTTATTATTTTTATATTAATAAATGGCACTAACATTCTAATTTAATGATTTTTAATTTATTTATGAATTAACTGACCATAGCGCGTGAAATATATCATTAATTTCATTTTCTATCCTCCTGAATTTGTTGTTTTTGGATTCAATTTATAAAAGTAGTTCCAAAGTATAACAAAATACAAATAAACGCTTCACAGTGTCACAGCCCAGATATTTCAGTAACAGCTATCAGCCTCGTTTAACGCTATATTGAATGAATATGAATAAGATTTTCTAATATTTATTAAAAGTAACTTTTTGGTCATCAGGTTTTGTGATGGCAAACGATGTGGACAACAGCCGCTGCTACATGCTGGTGCACCAGGCCAAGCGTCTCAACTCTCCATGCATTCTCATCACCAACCACGACTCCGCTGTTATGCCATCACTCGTCATGTCTGATGATCAGGTAAATTACATATACGTATAAAAATATTATCATAAATCAAAACTTCTGCAAAGGTCACATCAAAAAATATGTTTTACTATAACTTATAATATTCTTCAACAAACTATAACTACAGTCACGGTGCATCGTACCACCGTTTGTATCGTCCTAGCGTTCCGCATGCAAACTGTTTGTTTTTGATCTTTTTATTCACTTTTCGTAATTTTTAATTTTAAATATGCTCTTTATGAATGTGAGTTCGTGAAAATTCGTCGAGTTAGAAACATTATACATACTTAATTTCATTCAATGACTGTTAATTGTAAAAAGTGTTAAAATTTATTTATTATTTCATTATGCTCACGAGTTTGAACTCAAGAAAAATGTAATAAAGTTAAATTACTCATCAAACCCGAAGAAAGGGGTTTTTTATTACCATTAATTAAATCACGTTCTGAAGCTTAGTCAACCTTTTTTCGTTTCGTAAAGCGTTTTCTTAAGCTTCGAACCCGCCACACTGCTAGGCGGAGTTGGCTGTATTACTCAAGCCAACCCGGCTTGAGTAATACAGCCAACTTACAGAGGACCAATAAAGGCGTTCGAGTGCGGAAAATTGGAGCCCTCATACCTAACCTAAAGCTATAAATTTCTTTATGTTTCTTCTATACAACCAAATATAATTATATAAATAGTTAGTTAAAATTAAATAAGTTACCGACGATGTGGGTAGGTCTGTATTTGCTGACATTTCATTACAAAAATGAGTTAAATACACCATCCGATAGAAAACTTCCAGCTATATCAACGAGTACAACCCATTTCCTTTTTGTAAACATTGTCAGTCAATAGGGTTTACCAGCATTAGTTGCGATATACACAATTCTAAACTAAAAAATCTTATAATGTTATAGAGTCCTGGTGGTACAAAACCTCTGAAATTCGATCGCATCCTGTGCGACGTGCCGTGCTCTGGCGACGCAACATTGCGGAAAAACCCCGATATATGGCTCAAGTGGTCCACAGGCAATGGAAACAATCTACACGGGTAATCATTACAAAACTTAGATATTCTAATAAAAAAATATATCATAAAGAAAAAATACCTAGGACTGGTTTATTTTTTATTAAGGATAATAAAAAAACACCTAAGCTTATTTGAGAGAGTGCGATAAACTGATTTCTTATATTTTTAACTGACTTCAAAATCAAAAATCTATATGTTCGATGGCGATGTATGTTTAATTTTATATCTGTTTTAAGACTTTTACTATGTTAAATTTGTATTTACATATATATTCAATATTTTAGTGTTACCTGTTATATAAGAAATATCAATATCACTAAAAATCATGAAATATTTTTTTTATACAGTGGATACTTGAAACTTAAAGTTTAAATAATACTTATCTCAATAGCGACTTATCCAAGAAAATGCTATTGAAGTCAAGTGCCTAGTATTAATTGATAACCTACAGAAAACCACCGCCCGACTTCAATTATATTTTCGTTACTAAGTCGCTTTTGAAATAACTATTATTTATCACTTTTTTTAAGTTTTAAGTCGATTCTTCTTGTTTTTGTACTATAATAGATTTTCATCATTTTCTGTGTTCCTTACATACTAAATAAATGCTCTTTAAACTTTTAACTGACTTCAAAATCAACAAGAGAAGGTTATTTGTTCGGCGACGATCTATTTTTATTGAAACATTGCAATCAATCGTCATATCATATCTATAATTTTAATGAAATTAATCTATGGTGTCAACAAGACATCAGAGTAGCTTTATAATTTGAATCTATAAATTTTTCTTTCGTTTTTTAAACACCTACAAATGAAGCGCATTGCGAACCAAGATGGCCGTTTAACAATCCTATTCTTATTTTCCTTGCGTAGTTCCTGAGATTTTCGTATTTTTCGTGGTATTTTTCTTAATATAACTTCTTGAACTACTAGTGACTCTAAATAACAATAGGATCCAATATCGCGTGCTGCGACGAGGTTGCGAGCTACTGGCAGTAGGCGGACGCCTAGTATATTCTACTTGTTCCTTCAATCCTGTGGAGAACGAAGCGGTCGTTCATCGTCTTCTTCAGGAGACTGGAGATTCTGTGAAATTGGTGGACGCTGCCCCCATGCTGCCGGGACTCAAGTATCATAAAGGTATGACACTTTTACTTAACAACACAACAAAACAGTTGATTTCTTCTCAACCTAATATAATTACTCTTTTTGTAATAGAAGGGAATCTGTTTTATTTTAATATTAAAATGAAAATTAAACAACTTAAAAAATGTGATAAATAATTCACGAAACTTTTGTTGAACTCTGGAGGTTTTGAGTAGGTTACTGATATTATTAGACAACCAAACCTTTTTTAAATATATTATATTTTAATAATTAAATCTTTAAAACTACTAAACAGATAATGATGAAACTTCTGATGTTCCCTAAAGTGAAAACTAAGTAAACGAACAATTGAAGAGTTGTTGTGATCTGATATCTGATTTGCGAGATATACGTGGACAAATAAATATACAAACACATACGTTAAAAGGTCATATAAACTAAGATATATAAACGTTACACTATTCTAACGACATTAAATAAACAGGTCAATCAATAACCTCTTTTTTTGCAGTTTGTTAATTATTTTTGTTATTATATTTGCTTGTATTAGTGAAATCTAGGTTTAGTGGAATGACAGATTGATGCTACTTATTTGTTTTCTTAACTAATCAACCAAATAAATTCATAAAAATCACCTAAGAAATTATTTATTAGATATCTACTGAATTAAAAATAAATAGGATACTGGCGACATCTGTTGACAATCAAAACAAGTGGAACCATGACGTATCTTAGTACACTTACTTTATAAGCTCGATCTACGTTGCGAAAATTAACTTTCGCGAGGGCCAGTCAAGGGCAATAGGATGGGTGACCAAAAATTTACTTCGAAAGAAACGTTAAACCGTTCATAGTCTGTTTCTATTTTATGATATCCTATAATACCATCCATACGGCGGCCCTGTACTCCAGCATTGGAAGCATTAATAGGCTGATGATTAAATATTACATTTTACTTAATCCAGGAATGACATATTGGCGTCCTGCCTCTAAAGATATGGTGTTCTACGAGAAATATGAAGATGTTCCTGAAAAATGGCAAACTGTGGTGCGGCCACAGATGTTTCCACCCAAACCAGAAGATTTGGACAAATACAACTTGGATAAATGGTAATGAGGATTCATCGACTATAAGAATTTTTTTTCTGTTCCCAATTTTTTTGTGTAGAATTAGTTGACGAATACGAAAAGAGCTAGCTTATGAATAAGCATGCTTTATTTATTTTGCCGTGCTAAGTTAGCAAGCGTGAAGCTGCTTGATTTGTTTTGCTACTTTTTTGCAATTGTGTTCACGATGGCTTGAAGTTACCGATTAAAGTATAGTTCACACATGTATAGTTTCAAAAAAAAATGGTTATTGAATATCGATTTATAGTTTCAAATCGATATTGTGACAATCTGATATTACCCACCGCTATGAAATAAAATCGTAATGTCCTACTTCACATTACCTACTTTTAATCCATTTACGAATATTTAAAATAAATTAATTTATAAATGTTCAATTAAGGCAATGGAATCCATTCATACAGCCTTTTTACGTTCATATATAACCAACCTATGAAGTTTTTTATTTCATAAGAATGAAGAGTACATTTTTTCTCAATTCTACTTCTAGTATAAGAATACTGCCTCACCATCAGGACACCGGTGGTTTCTTCGTAGCCGTCTTCGAAAAAGTCTCACCTCTCCCTTGGGAGAAAGAAGAGAAAGTTCAAAATCAAGGAGATGAAACTGAGAAGAAAGAAGAACTCAAAAAAGAGCCGCCCAAAAAGAAAAGAAGAATGGGAGGCTATAGAGAAGACCCTTTCGTTTTCTTCTCTGGTGACAGCGAAGATGTGTTTCCTTCTATCAAAGAGTATTACGACTTGAATGCAGAGTTTGATTCCACCTGCCTATTGACCAGGTGTCACGTGGGGAAGAAGAAGAATATATATTTAGTTTCACCAGTAGTCAAAGATTTGGTACAGAGGAATGAGTCTAATATAAAAATTATCAACACTGGTGTGAAGACCTTCGTGAGATGCGACAATAAGAATATGACCTGCCCATTTAGGTGAGTAAAATTAATCTTAAAAACTATAATATTAAGAAAACATGCTATTTTAAATTGTGCCTAGAGTCACCTAAACAGAGTTTATTTTAGGGCTCTGTACCCAAAGAGTAAAACGGATCCCTATTACTAAGACTTCGGTGGCCTGTCTGTTTGTGACATTAAATACAAGAATCTTAAAAAAAATCTAGATAATGTACCGAGTTATTATTAAACTCATAGACCAAATTAACGATATCTATCTTTTCCTGCAAAACCTTGTGTGCTGCTATTTTTATGAATAACCCTCTAATGATTTTTATAGATTATCACAAGAAGGTCTACAAAGTATAACACGCAGTATTGGACCAAAACGACGCGTGCGCATCCTCAAAGAAGATTTAATAACTGTCCTACAGAACGATAACCCCAGCAACCCGCCAGATCTCAAACAGTTTACTGAACACACGCAGAACCTTGTCAAAGATCTTGGTGAGTTCATATCGTATCGCAAAGCGATAATATATCTATATATAACAATGTCCGTCGGTCCAGCAGGCCTTTTTGGATTTTGAAAATAGTATTTCATTAAATCTATAATTTACCAGTCTGTAATGAAATATGTACACATGGCTGCACAACAAGCTGCCATAATATGTCAAATTTCCGTAAATGATTTTGTTCCGTATATTACATATAGTCTATATTAACCGAAATAATATATCAGACTACTGATAATGACGTAGAGTTAGTGAGTCAAGAATTCTAAAATTCAAAAAGGCAGCGATGCACGACTAACTGAGTTTATTAATTCATTATCATCATCATCATCAGCCCTTTTACGCCCCCACTGCAGGGGCTCCGGCCTTCCTTATGGTTGGTAAAGGAGGATAAACCACGACCCTCCACGCTGACCCAATGCGGATTGCAGGGTATTAACGACTCCAAATGCAGCCGGGACCAGCAGCTTAACGTGCCTTCCGTAGCACGGAGTAGCTTGAGATAATAATTTTTTGGTCACCCATCCCGTGACCGACCCTTGCGGAAGTTGCTTAACAACAACGATCGCGGGCCGCGGCGCTTATCTACTACGCCACTGACCTAAATATTTTTTTATTACTTACATAAAATTGACAAATATTGACTTGATATAATTTTTGTATTATTACATTTTTAGCGACTGGCAGTTGTGTTCTTGAATACCACGACGAGGAATCGAACTTGCAGTTGACTCTAGTGGGATGGCGAGGAGTACATTCACTCAGGGCCTATACAGCCACGCCTGATACTGTACACTACCTGCGATTACTGGGAGCTGATTATAGTAAATATGGTATGTTTCTGATTTCCTAGTACATATCACAGAAGTGATGTATTGAAACGTAGGTATGTAGAAGATAACATAACAGTATATTTTTTTTATAGTAAATTTTGTATCATTATGCTATCTTAGTATTTATTTTATATGCACGGCCGGTATTTTAAAGATAAGTGGGACATTTATTTATTAAAATCATACGACCACATATTGATGTTCCCTATATATTACTAATATATTTGAATTATAGAGCTCTCGATTTTTCTATATATTTTGTATCTCGATCCCGATTTCTTGAGACATTGACAAATTTCCTAATAAATTACTGAAGTGTTTTTAATTCCAATAACGCCATTTCTCGATTTTTTGCGGTGTATTTTGTCGTCTCGACTTCAAGTAAATATTAATTGGATGAACATCTGTTACAGATATAAATAAATTTAAGAAAGCTTCCGATATTCCCGACGCGGAGGCTGATTCTACTGACGTTACCGAAGCTCCTGAAACGGCAAAAGAAAACGGAGCGAACGAAACTGAAGTACAAAGTACTAGTAGCTAGTATTTGGCTTTTTGGCTAAATTGTTTTAGACATAAGAATTGTGTTACGTTCAACGTAAATATGTTTATTATTGCATAATATACACTATTTTATTTGAAGGTTTTCTTTCATTTTGCCCTTTTAGAATTTCGCAACTTCACAGCCCTAATGTGGTCAACGCAACTGGCTACATCTGAAGTCTTACGACACGTAGTTTTGTCATAGCAAAATAAACTCTATTTATTTGGCAGCTATCATTAAATTAGTAGAGTTGATTCAGTATATTTAATATATTCTGTAACTTCAGTTTACTTCTTTCTTGCCTATGAAATAGAATTCATTTTTGGTATTGATGTAATGTGTACTAGACACAAGACTAGTAACTAGATCATGTTGCTTTTGGGCGTATATGCGGTGATCGCAGCCATTGTTTATTCGCAGCCTATGGGGCAACACAGATTGACTTTTTTATTTAAATTAAACATAAAAACTATTTCAGTTATTCATAAAACTCAAAGAGTAATCTATTTCCATTTAATTAAATCATTAAATAAATTCAATAAGGGCCATTTTGTAACGCTTTAAGATAAGCTATAATTAAAATATTACTTAATGCACTATCGCCGGCTATTGGTGTCTGTGAAACTCAAATAGTACTCTGCCAAAAAGGTGTCACTAATAATGAAACCACTGTAATATGTTTACAAACCGTTTATTCAATAATATCTTTCCTCCCGCACCATTCGCAATACCAGCGATAACAATCATACGCCTTGACACTTCCCAGGTGCTACATCAACAAAACAGTGCAAGTTTACCCGCTTAATTCGAATTCAATATGAGCTTTTGCCAATTATACACTTAAAAAAAATTTACCGCGGGTTGGTGCAGATTATATTTCACTCATCTCTATCTTTTTTGAGATAAATTTTAAATATGATAAGTTTTTAAATCAATTAAAGTAATTTGACAATTACTAATAATTCGAAACGACAACAGATTTTGATAGTGAAATTTAATCTTTGACGGTCAACACATTAAGTTTTAAACGAATGATGATTAAAAAATTTGACCAATATTTCAATAATCTAATTTGCTTTATATTACACAAATAATATACGGCTTCAGGATGACATAATAAGACAACTCTTTCTATACAAATGTCAAAAATTAAAAGAGTTTTTTTTTGGATTTTTCTTCTGCTGGTTCTCTTTTTTGTTACTTTATTATTTACTCCATCGTTATATATTATTTTATTTCTATTCTACCTTTTATTTACTCCTTAATATTGCCAGAGTTATTGAAGAATGACTTGTGTAGTCACTTATTGTTTTTTTTTTTTTTTATAACCTATATGGAGAGGAAAGTTAACTGGACCATCGTATAAAGTGTAAATTCAAGATTAAAATAATTGTCATTCTTAATACAAAATGCTTAAAATTCGTTTTTTTTTTTAGCATTTTGTATTAAGAATAATTTTCAGTATGGCAATGTGAATGCTAAATTAAACCAAATATAATAAAGTAATTGTCCACTCTGATCACCTACACAAAGATAATAACGGGATTTTCTTCGTTCTCTATCTAATTTCCACTAATTATTTGACTACTCCGACGTTTAAACATCTCATCTTGTCACAGTGTCAAATCATTACTAGTTTTGGAGATTTCTGAGATTGCTTTTGTTTTATTAATTATTATGAATGCTTTTTTATTATAAGATCACAAGTGCAAACATAGTGAGAAGTCATTTGAAGGTACATATGAAGTAGGCAATTGTTTACAAAAGCTTTGGAACGCATGTAAATACTAGTTACATTTTTTCCATTATGACATACCTAAAATTGCAGTTATTTACGCAGCCATCAAACTCATGTTTATTCTATTTGCGTCTTATGATTAAAAAACTTTTTCATTGAAAAACTGCCTGCACTAATAGTTTTGAGCACTTTGTATTCTATCGATAAACGGTATACATTAGCTCGAATAAATTAATTTAAAATTCATTTCTTTAATGTTTCCTATCAGTCCAATTAGTTACTATAATAATACTTATTTTCCTTTTCGAATACATATTTCAATTTTACAAGAATATTTGTGCAAAACATGTTATTTGTTTTATTAAAATTTATATGTCAAGCAATGCGTAAAGATTAAATGTTATTACCTATAGCTATTAAGTACTATAGATTATTTTCAAGTCTCAAAACTCTTCACGAAAAATGTCAGGGTCGGTGAAAATCGGCGAAAGTTCCGTATCCGACTGTATAAACCTGTGGTATCAGCGAAAGCACGCGGTATTAAGCTCCACTACTACCGACTGATTATTCGTCGTGCATGCAAGGTTGAATATCATATTACATATTGTCATTTTCACGTTACGCGAGTCGCGACGAATATTTACGTCCAATATACACCGACCCATATCCAGAAAGATTTTGGTAATAACTTATTTTGATCAGGCCCGGATCTACAACTCTTTCCAACTGGGGCAGAAACTTGATATTGCACTCTACTCCCCCCCAAACCAAGGCATATTTTTATTACCATATTTTTGCATTATTGCAATGCAAACTTTATATCAGACTTTAAAAAGGTGTTCTTCCCATCGTAACGTGCTTCATATATGAATTTATTTTAAAAGACATTTTGTGAAGCTGTTTGTTTTCTGTAGGTATTATGTTAACATGATTTTGGCGCCCCCCTGACACTGGCGCCCGGGCAAGTGACCCTAGATCTGGGCCTGATTTTGATTACTGGTACCTCTAGAAGAAGAAGTGGTTAACTTGGGGATAAATTAGTTACAAGATTATTTTAAAATTAAAACTTACTAAATAATAATATCATATTAACAATAATACCATAACATCATAGTAACAACAACTAATATAAGATTAATAGCCAGTGAAATGGATCAGTGTAAATACAGTATATATATAATATACATATAATGCAATGGATCATTTGAGTTTACTTTGGAATAAAGTTATATAATGGTTCCCTGTATAATTTTTGAACTAATTATTTTATGGCTGATGATGATTTAAGACACCTTAAAAGTTAAATAAATTATTCTAACCCTTACTATACAATATTATTACTATTACTACTAATTTATAACTAATATATCTCTTTTCAGCTTTCAAGAAATTTTATAGGATAGGTAATAGACTTAAGCGGTGCTTGATAGCAAATAAAATATCGAGATGTTGCCTTCAAAACTCTGATAGTTAGATATTATTTGTGCTCTACCATGTTTATGGCTGTAAGATACTTAGGTCGTGTATATTTTATTACTTTTTTCTTACTAAACTCTAAATTATCATACTATCATTCTTTATCTTTTGGTGACTAATTGGACAAATGAAATAACTTTTAAAGGGTTTCATCACGTTTGTATTTAGATTTAAATTAAATAACAACCGAATTTTAATAGAGATAAAGGTTGGCATATACCACTGGCTTGGGATCCAGTAATTAATCAAATAAAATCTCGATTCAGATCACACATTGCAAAACCAAAATATTCAGTTAGTTCATTCTGTAAATATTGAATCAAAGTGAGCAATTCACTTTTCTTGTCGTAGTTTGTTTCGCCAGTTCTTCTCAGACAAGACTCCCAAATTTGGAACTGTGTGTACAAACAAGTCATATGTATTTAAAAAAAAAATATAAACATTTCCATATAATTATATTTATTTTTTTATTTGAATGTGTCCAATAGTACTGTCTTATGTAAACACGGAACCTGTAAAGGGTCCTAAACGTCAATAAAACTAAATACGAACGCGATGAAACCGTTTAAAAATTATTTCATTTATGGATAGCGCGCGTGAAAATATAAGAAATCAATATAACTATTTGGATGATATAAGTTGATGTACTTTCAAATTTTTATAGCCACAAAATGTGAAGAGCTAAGTAAAGTTAAAGAATTGAAGGTTGAAAATTAATTTAAAGCTTCTATTGGTAGCTTAAATCAGTTACTTTTCTAGCTCTAATATTGATTGACAGCTAATAATAAAATACGCCTTATTTACTTAACCTACCTACAATCTATGCCACCAACGAAGATCCACACAATAAACCCAGTTCAATATGTCTCGACCCGATATCACAGGAGTGATGTGGCTCGTAACACGAAGCTAAGCTAATTATAAACTACAATCCATGTGATTTTAATGTTAAATAGCCCACAAAAGCCCTATTCGAGATGATGTTTCGATATTCGACATGGATAACTACTACTTACTATGAATAAATATTCGAATGCTGTAATTAGGTACATATTTATGACATTAATGTACAATCAACAGCACATTATGTTTTACAAAACTGAAAAAATCTTCTTATCAATTTTAAACCTTAATATATTAAGTTCAAAATTCGATGAGGCATATGAATATGTTATCATAACCTGAAAACAAATCGGAGCCCAAAATTTTCATATTGACTTATAAAAATGCACGTAACTTATAAGAAAAACTATTTCATCTATAACTTATATGTATGTACGAAATGGCTTATTCCGTTTATCCACCTCAAGGTGAACGGGGAACGGGGTAGATAGATGGAAGTCATTTTTGAATGTTCTTCCGATTTTTTACCCAAAGTACAGTGGAATAACAAAACTGCCTACTACACAAAAGCTTCTATCGTGTATTAATAAAAATCACATTTTCATTAAAAAAAACAAATCATTTATCAATGTAAAATACCAAGTATCTTGGGCTGGGTTTAAACGTTTTTTTAAAATGACTACACGGGCGGGGGAGAAAATCGAAAGTAAAATTATACACCCCGTTCAGGGTGGATAGATAAACACGCGTTTCCGAGTATCCCCCTTAGGGTGGCTCTTTCAGGGTGGATAAACGGAATAAGCCTGCCAAATTAATTTTAGTATCTACATTTTCATACTCTATAACGCTATTGTAATGTGTCGGACTTACCCAAGCAAAATTTTTAGGTACAATATTCTTAATGAAAATATATTTAAAATCCACTTCGTCTCTGGTACTCTGAGATGGGATCCAGGGACAAAGTGGATTTTTTATAAGCATTTTCCATTAAGAATATTAAGAATGCAAAATTGATCAAATATATTAATTTAAGCTACAACTTATTAAGTTATTGTACTGCTGTAGGTTACCTTTATGAAGCAAATTTTTATTTTATTTATTTATTACATACCTAATCAACTAAATACATATAACATGCAATGTAATAGAATCAATTTGAAATTATACTTTCAGTACGCAAACTTTTCTGACATCATATAATGGAAAAAAACCAGCCAAGTGTGAGTGTGACTCGCTTTCAAAGGGTTCCGTACCATTATCCTTTATAAAAAGTAAAAAAAAATCACGATAGTTGTTTTTTATGAAGTTTCGAGTTCGAAATTTTCGAGTTAAATACAATTGGTCGACTATTAAGTTGTAAAGCCAACTTAAGTGTGATAGTTTTATAAGTAGATATATAAGTACTGCCGTAACGTTTGCATTCTTACCAACGACCATTTAATTGGTTGAGGGGGGGGACCCATGACTCTAACGAATATTAGCTCTTTAAATCTTAATAAGTCACAAACGGTTTACTGAATCAGAAAAACTGCCTTCCTAAAACCCCAATCATTTTGAAGGACCTATCCAACGATATCCTACAAAGTTGAAAAAAAATCATCCCTACTTTACATCTAGGGGAGATACCACACAATTTTTTTTCGAAATGTTACTTTACCACTTTATCGGGGTAATTAACGCGTATACTCATCATTCTCACCAAAACTACACACCAAATTACTTTCCAGTAACAATTGTTAAGAGCTAAACCGCGGACGGACAGACAGACTTGGCGAAACTATAAGGGTTTTTTGTTTAATATAAAACCCTAAAAAATTATAGAAATAGGTAGCTTAAATAATTATTTCAATATTATAAAACATAAAGATACCGACTAATGCCTTCCAAAGTGATAATCTTCTTAACTTCATGCAATACTAAGTAAATTAGTAGGTATATACCTATTTACACTAATCCATTTGCTCTAACATATTAATCTACTAACATATTAATTAAACTAAACTTCTAAACCATGTTTATCAACAAAACATGCTTACATTATCAACAAAATCTAAAATAAAATTATAGATATGTACCTAAATTTGACATTGCATATTTGAACATTATTTCTATCGTACTGCTTACGAAGTTTATTTATACCTATACCTACTTAAGTATTTTTCAGGTTTCTTCTTATTATTTGAAAAAAAAATCAATGAAGCGATAGAATGAGCACTTTTAAAGACGGATTTCTAGTCTGTGGACGGTAGAAATGGACTAAAAGCTGTGCTTTAATTTATATTTATTGCAAATTTTTATTATGTAAATTGACGAATAGTACTTTTAAATAAAAACTCACAAAAAAACTGATATCTTCTCTGGCTTATTATTCACGAATTATATGTATGTTTTTTAAACAAGCAATTTGGTATAAATTTATATAAAAAGGTCATTAAAAATTAATGAATTTAATTCAATTTAAATTACTTTAGTAAAATCCATAACATATTTATGGCATCTCCTTTCGAATTCAACATAAATTTATACAAACTCCAAGAACGACATCAATATGGACTTCCTAAAAAACTAATTTCACGACTGCTATTTCTTGTTACGGTAATGTTAAGCCCGCTACATTTTTCGCTTTGTTGCCTTTTCACCAAGATCTCACCGAATTACTTATTAAAATAACGCGCATTTTGCTTACAGCAGCAGTAAAAGACTGTAGATAAAAGTTACCATCTTTATCTACCCCTTTCTCTAGCTATGTACCGAATTTCTAGCTATATTTCACAAACAGGCATTTCTTGATACCCCCACACATTTCATGTTAAAACGAAAAATCCATGGCAACATAACATAGAAATTTGAACCTTGAAACCGTACCAGTTGAACAATAAGATATCAACAAATACTCTCATAAATACACGATTATGACGTCAGATTACAAATAATGTGATATAACTGCTTATTACTTGCATCAAACAAAATATGGCACTCTATTATACCTCTTCAATATTAATTGATATCAGTGTAAAAGTCAAAGAGTCATGTCATTAGAAAAAGTATTTCAGTGAAATTTATTAGGAACCTTCCTTTAAAATGACGAATACCGTAATAACTAAATTTAATAGACAAAAGACTTGTTTTCACTTAGCTTAGGAGACGCCCAAATCTGACATCTAAATATATGAGATTGTGAGCATTGTTAAAGGTGAAAATGCGCTTCATCAATGACAAGGAGACAGACATCTAAGGACTTTAAGCAAGGCTTAAAGTTATAGAAAGAGTTTCCGTAATATAATACTAATGCCTTTGTAATAAAATGCGAAAACATTGTAATCCAAGGGATAACTTTTGTAAAACGAACTCTAGGACATGCATTGTCATTTGCGTAATGTGTCATATACATTTACTCTTTGGCCATAACGGATGTGTCAAGAGATAAAATCAATTTAATAAGTTGGAATCAAGGAGTTTTTATATTAGAAATTCGGTCATTTTTTAAAGGAACAATGACTACTTGGGTGTTCGGGTAGAAGACCACGTATATATTTTTTTTCTTTTATTACCTCAAAATATATATTTTTGTTATTGTCTCTTTACGTGTAAAGTTACAGTTCTCTATAAATGTTACGTGTAAAACTAACCTGTCATTGGCGGACTTGTGTAAACGCAAATAGGCCATACATAAAAAAGAAGAAGACCTGAAATATGCAAAATTATAGACAAACGTTGCCTAAGCTAGTGCTTAGTAAGGCATAACCTAATATCTGTTTACGCGACTCTTAATTTTAAGATATTTCTAGTTAAGCTATGCCTTGTTCTAGGTTAGTGAAAACGGGTATAAGTCTCTTATTACTTGTTTTCATATCGAGGGATTTATGAATATACTGGCATATATCGGACCCAAATCAGCAACATAGGACTTCAGAGACGGAAAAAAACTGTCATAACAAATTTCTATATTCGTCGCCATATTCACATATTATTATCTATTTCTTTGCTCAGATTTAATTCTGACCTAATCGAGGATTCCGTGGACACTGCATCAAATGCCTCTGCCAGGGCAGATCTCTCGCCAGCACGTTGGTGAAGCAATACGGACATTTCCATTCATCCATTCCTAGCGCTGGAGATCAGAGGTTTTTTGTATTAGACTTGGAATTGTTTATAGTGTGAGATTTTTTTTTTCTATAGGCCTGTACCCTAGCAGTAGGGACATTAATAAGCTTATAACTTACGTATACAGTTGACGTGGTATTCCCTCTCATCCGTTCTCAATGCCGCGCCGCATTTTTGACACGCCTTCCAGCTGCCTTCACTTAGCGAACATTCTTCTGCATATTAATAATAAACAAATTAAGTGTTTTATCTTTCTTTATACAATAACAAATATTGTTTTGCCATGATATTGGGAACTGATTTAGAAAAGGTAGAAAAACAGAATTTGTCGATTGTTTGCCTTATAAATAATGTAGGTATGTTTCACTAGCTTAAGGACTCGTTTTAGCTGTAAATAATAATCTTTACACATTGATAAATTCATAAACACTGACCTGTTAGAGTTTTATCTGCTCTGGTCCTTTTAACCAGGTATTTTTTCATATTTAAATTTTAATAGTATAAAAATTATGTGACATAATTAATTCCAAGAGGAAGTTGATTTTTTACAAATAACCCTAAAGCTAGATTATCAGTCAGTGACATATTCTTTGTTGAATAAAATTCCAGTGATCCCTGACCGAGAGTTTCAAAGTGGTGCCATATTTAAGGTCCTAGGATTTACGGCCAGCAGAGCGTTTTTGTAGAAAACCAAACCCGTATTCAAAATCTATTCATGTCGTCTAGTGTAGATATTATATGAATTCTTTGATTTGAAAGATTGATTGATTCATACGTGTCTCAGACATTATATTCCTATGTCATTTCGAAACTAATTTCACTTATGCCACGAAACGTTATTACCAACTCAAGGTTGACTTGATGCCTCTTTTAAAGTGAATTCGGAAACCTGAGTGAATTCTAATTCGGGTTCAGATTTTTACATATTCGCAGGGCAGATCAATGTAGAATATTAAGTTTTGTGTTACTTTCGTTATTTCACACTTAAGCACTTGTAATAACAAGTGCTTTAGGTATTTCATTTGGGACCTGTGTAATGTGTGTGATGTTTAAAGAAAAATATTATTTAGGACAATTTTGACGCGTACGTGGTGCGTTCTACCGCCAGTAGTGGGCCTCCTGAGTGGTAAGTGTAAGTTTTACGCTAACGCATTCACTAGTGAGCGCGTAAAGAATTTGTAGTTCTTGATAGTTACTGCTAGGGGCTAGGCGCTGTACCGGATTCCATACTAAAATCTTAACGCGCTCACGATCGACAGTGAACGTAAACGTCGAAAAAACTTACACTAAGCGTTCAGCACGCGTAGCATGATGAACGCGACAACATTTTGTGTACACTCAAATGTCACTCTTCTCGGGTGCGCCCATATCTCACTCTATCTCACTATCTCATATCTCACTCTCGACCCGAGAAACTGACAAATGAGTGTAGACAAAGTGTTTCTCGAGATTGACATGTTACGCGTGCTGGCATTATACGGGACAGTATCGATATGGTAATGGGAGGGGTGGGGGGTGGGGGGTGAGTATACCTAACAAGTGTGCGTGCAGCGTCCTCGCCTCCAGCGCGACGCGGCAGTGCGGGCAGCGCGCGAGCAGCACGCAGCGCCGCCAGTAGTGGGCCTCCAGGCATTATACGGTACAGTATCGATATGGTAGTAGGGGGTGGGGGGGGGAGGAGGTTAGTATACCTAACAAGTGTGCGTGCAGCGTCCTCGCCTCCAGCGCGACGCGGCAGTGCGGGCAGCGCGCGAGCAGCACGCAGCGCCGCCAGTAGTGGGCCTCCAGGCATTATACGGTACAGTATCGATATGGTAGTAGGGGGTGGGGGGGGGAGGAGGTTAGTATACCTAACAAGTGTGCGTGCAGCGTCCTCGCCTCCAGCGCGACGCGGCAGTGCGGGCAGCGCGCGAGCAGCACGCAGCGCCGCCAGTAGTGGGCCTCCAGGCACTCCGCCCTCACGCGCCTGCCGCACCAGCTGCAGGTCGTACTGTACACCGATAGTTATTGAAGATACGAGTGCGGAAAGTAAGGTTTTACGAATAAGGGCCAAATTGAAAACACGAGCGTAGCGAGGGATTCCATTGGCACAAATTCGAAAAACCTTTTACGCTCAAGTTTCTTACTACATTTTTTCAATGCTTATTGCGAGGAAATAAAACAAATATATAGGTTAATAAAATTAAGTATGTATTAAAGGTAAAAATTATTTGTTATAATTAAACGTGATATTTGAACATGTTTTCGTGTCATACATTTTATTTGAAAATATTCGTTCTAGGCTCCTTGAAATACTTTTGCCTCTAAAGTTTGATATATTTTCATCATTTTTTTTTTTATTTCTTTGGTGCTCGGCCAAAAAAATTAAAAAAAAATACTTTTAAGCACGTGTGCAGTAAAGGATTTTAGTACATTTATATAACACGTGTTTAAAGACTCACTTCGGTGTTTACAATGGATTAAAAAATAGCGCTTTATGAGCAACTGCATTGAAAAATATATTTCTATTTATAACGTAACTTTATAAATAGAAATATATTTAGAAAGTGTATATATTTGGAAAAATTGGTTTGGAAAGTTGCAGCAGCGCGAATGAAGTGGTCTTCACATGAACGCTGTACCTCAGTCCGCGTGTCTCTGATGCATGTAAGGAAACTTTTCAAGTTCCGAGAACAAACGTAACTTTCTAAGCAACTACTAAAATTACATTGGATGCGATTTATTTTTTGCGTATTATTTAAATTATTAATTACAGGACCGAAAGAGATCCACTCTAATCACGTATATTGTAAATATGGGCCATTAGGAAGACTCATTTTCCCTTCACTTATTAGATCCCAAAACTTATCCACGCCTAATTACATTAATAAATTTATATTTTTAGAATTATCAGTCAGTCAAACTACATGATGATTTGGCTCAGCACTGGTTTAAAAGTAGCGTCATATTCTTAGATCCCGGACAAATCTTTGTAAAAACTTAACTTATGTATGTCTGAGTAGTATTATTTTTATTGTTTCACATTACTATAACACAATAGCGTTATTATTTTAAATACTTTGTTAAAAACCATTGGACGAATAATCAAATCTTATTAAGTTGCACTGTTGTCAATGCAAGTTGAGCCGGTAGTGTCAGCTACCCACCCGTACTAGGACTAAGTATTAGGTTAGGGTCCATTCTCCCTCTTCTTTCCTTGTACAGTAGTAAGAACATATCCCTTAAATGTGAGAAGAACGCACGTATGTACTATCTCAATTTTCCCTACGGCATTCATGGTAACTCAGTTTAAAATTTATGATTGTATTTATTTTTTTATTATGAAATATTTTAGAGGGAAGTGAGTAGATAATTTCAGTTAGGCAAATCTCACTATAATTAAGATACGACTCTCCAGAATGTCTAGAACGCACAGCGATAAAAACTCAGCTCGACATCTAGAATTCTACTTCGAAGGTGATTCTTATAAATTGGTTAGCATAGCTGGCACATAACTGTCTACTTTTGGCATTAATTTCAGAATTCAGTTCGCACTACGATAAAAAACGGCAGCCCGGTATCTTTGAACCGAACAAAACTGATCTTTTTTAGACTCTAGCGCGCGGTATTACAAAATTGTAAGAGATGTCCAACATCGATTACTTGACACTACAGAAGTATTTAAATATAAAAAAAACAACAATAATGGTTTAACTCACTGGCATACAGGTTCTGGTGTATTATCGCTGGGCACATCTACGGTGTTTCCCTCGTAGCTTTCATATTGCTCATTGTTGGTCAGTTGTTGCCTGCGACCTAAGCGACCAAATTAGTATTGGAATAAAAATGAAAGTAGCAAAAGTTATAACTAATAATTGCTTGAGAAATTTAGCTAACGTCCGACTTTCTAAGATTCTATTACCAAAACAAATTACAAATTTAAAAATCTCACATTTTTTTATTTTTATAACGTAGCTGAATATAGGTTGCACCTCGCGGTGCAAAAGGCCTCAAGCCTCAAAGCAAAATCAAAAAAGTTAATCAGTTTGAAAAATCTATAAAGAAAAATGGAAAAACTTTGTTTTTTTTTTATGATTAAACTTTTTATTCCTAAAACTAATATTTTCGAAAATATACATATTTGTACTCCATTGAAGGAAAATGTCTCACAAAGTATCCGAGGCCTACATTAAAGATCACGCGCTACCTACACAGAAATAAAGAACTTGTTTGACTATAGATAAATAATTTTGGCAGTTTTCTTGTACAACTCTCGAAACTAGAAGAAGAAGAGCCCACACATGAAGCACGTATACTTGTAGCAAAGCTATCAGAAAATCTACAATTACAAAATTATATTTAACTCACCAGGACTGTAATAACCGCTCTCATCCATCTGACTATGATCATCTAAATGCAAGTTCCTCAATCCCGCCACCAATTTCGGGGACTCTAAAACACTTTCCCTGAAAAATTCCGCTTTGACTTTCGGCGAATCCAGACTTCTACAATCGGAGTCACATCTCAAATCGCTCCTCGATACAGGTGAATCCATTGGCAATGAGTCCATGCTTCTCAAATCGTTCTTGGAAGTTTTCGGCGATCCCAAACTTGGGGAATCTCTGTAGTCTATATGTAATGGTTCGTATACGGTGACAGGTCTTTCTTTTAGCTGCGGCTTTGAGGTTTCGTGATCGTAATGGATCATTGAATGACGGTTTTCAGTGTTACGGTTCGATCGACGTAAAACTACTTGTTCGGATTTGTCTTCGAAATGGACCTATACAAAGAAATAAAGCTTAAGAGTCCTATAGTACAATGTGTTATATTTCTATTCTACATTCTAGAAAAGAATATATTATTTGATGATATAAACACCCAATAGATCAAAATTAATGCAGTATTATCTACAAAATTTCAAAATAGAATGGGAAAAGTTAATTTGATCAGAACTTCGCAATTAAAACCACCAGGCTTTACGCGTTTCATTGAAATCATGCGACTATCTGGATACGTGATAATGACCATGTATAATCACGATAAATTACATGGAAAGAATGGAGAAAATTATGGAGGTAAGCCGAGTAATGCAAAGACTCATATTCCATGAATAAATTGACCGTGCTTTATCGGAAGTTGCTAAAAAAAGTAAATAGCATGTATGAAAAGAGTTATGAAACTCGCCCAAAGTGAATGACGTAAGAAAACCTTGCCTTGCGATGCTAAGTTCCCCCTACCTACCGTGCAAAGGAGATGGGAATATAGATACTAACTAATACACAATTCTAATATTTACCTTTTCAGTAGCGTTAGGTGTAGATCTAGGTGAATGTTTCGGGCTTACAGCGCTATCTAGTCTTAGCTTGTTGTAGCCAGGATAGTTGGAACTGTCTTTGGTTGTTCTTGAAGGGGTGTATCGCTTTGTAGGGGATCTCTTCAAGCTGCTTTTGCTGGTTCTTGTAGTGTAACTACCGCTGAGGCTAGACGGAGCTAGAGTTGAACCTTGGAAAATTAAGTGTATAGGTATTTTTAGAATATATAAATGAATCATAATTTTTTACGGTCTCTTCAACGAAAGAATTTAAAATAACGAAAGTACGTCAATAGCCCGACCCCAGACGTTGCAATAATGACAAACTTTTATTTGGTCGTTGCCATTTCTGAGGACACGGATTCGGTCTCGGTTAGGTCAACGTATAAACAGATATTTTTAACATTATCTTGGGTCTGAGTTATTGTCTTTGCTAGTGGTTTGATATTTTCGTTATTTCAGATATCTAATACACGAGGACTTCAGCCATTTTGTTTGGGATCATAATACTTATCTGTGTTCTGTGATGCTTACCAATATTTATAGTATAACAAGCTAACTCAGTAAACTTGTTGCCTTATCTTATATGATAAAGAGGAAAGATTTGATTGTTTTATTGTTTGAATCGAATAATAGGCGTAGATGACAACTTTTATTTTATTTTTTAAATAAATATTCCATTCATATCTGAGAAATAATGCAGAAGTAACAGCATGTCTGCGATTAATAGTTTTGGTGATATGGTGCTGTTTGTGGAACTGCTCCTAGTCGGCCGAAAACGCTCCCTACACATTCAATGCACTAAGTGACGTCATACGGTGCTACTGTAGCGAAAAACGTATGGGCGTCTGGGCAATCTTTGTTATTTGTGCGTCTATATTTATAGCTGTTATAATGAAAGTTGTAATGATTCACGTAACTAATGTAATGCCGTTGTATTTTAGTAATTTTTTGTATTTCAAATTTTCGATGCGTTATATGTTGCAAATAAGTGGCATATTTTTATTTTTGTTGAATATTTATAGGTTAAAATGGTGCATATATTCTGAACATATAACAGAAACTTGCAATTTCACTTATAGGACACAAGCCCATTTCATCAATTTTGAAAATTCTTTCACAATATAATATGCGCGTGACATAGGCTATTATTTATGGGAGCAAAGTCGCTTGATTATAAGAAGTAATTAATTAAAGAAAGCCTATATTGCTCGCTGGTAATGTAGCTTTGAGTGGCTTGGTGGCGTAGTGGATAAACGCCGTGGCCCGCATCGTTGTTGTTAAGCAAATTTCACAAGGTTGGTGGGTGGGTGGTTTTACGGGATGGGTGACCAAAAATTATTTCAAAGACATGTGAAGTCGTTGGTCCCGGCTACATATGCGGTCGTTAATATCTTCCAATTCTCATTAAGCCAGCGTGGAGGGCCATGGCTTGTTCTCCTTCACCATCCGTAATGAAGGCCTGAGACACTGCAGTGGGAACGTTATAAGGATTATGATGATAATTATGAATGTAGCTTTATATTTGTGAAAGATTTTTTTAAAACCGATTCAGGAGTTTTTGAGTTTGAACAAAACCATGAATCAAATCTCATTGTGTAGACAAACTTACCAGACGTATGTGACGTCATAGACTTCAAGCTATAAGATGAAGTTACTCCAATGGAGGATGTCATGCTAAATGATGCTGTGGTCCCACTAGCAGTTGTACGAGATGAATGTGCTACGCTAGCTGTATCGCACGACTCTACTGCTGATTCAGTGAGCTGTTCCTCTGTAGGTGCTTGGTTCAGGATTTTCTGCAGAATAATGAGTAAACTAAGTTTGATGATTCGCTATCTTCTTCACTTTTCTTTGATTGGAATCTGGCAATGTCTGGTTCCTAATATGAGATGTTAGTATACAAAGTATGAGTAAATAAGTTGACAAAGGCATGCTACGTTGGTTTGGACGAGTGGATGAATGCCAGTCAAGATGATAACGTAACTGAATGACGCAAAAGAGTTGAATGTAGAATGTAGAATTTGAGGCAGATTAATCACGTGTTGCTGGAAGATGATGTTAGGTTTTTTGAAAACCATTAATAATGAACATTGAAGAAGTTGAAGTCAAAAGACTCTAATATCAAGGGATCCAATATATACATACATCTAGGGATACAAATGAACGATTAGATTTTCTCTTGAGAATGATCTTTCAATATACATTGGTACAAAATTGGCGTCAATTAAATACCATGATAATAATTTTCAGCGACATCTAACCTGCATATCGATCCTGTCGAATTGCTGGAACAGATGTCTGTATATGAGATTCCTTCTGGTGACAGCATCGTCTGGAGGCAGTTGCGCTCTAACAACTCTGGGTGATCTACCATAAGCTGCTAGAAGAATCCTTTCTGCTGCAGCCCTCACAGAACCAGCGGCGTGTTGAGCTCCTGATGCCCCACATTCTGCTAGACGGCGGACTGTTAACCCACTGGAAATTATGTCCCCCTTTTCATTTTTCATATAAATAAATATACGACATCACATATTGCTCAGATCTTAAGTTAAGTATTCCAATCCTTATGGAAATCTGAAACAACGAAGACAGCACAACCACCCGGCAATGAAAGTATATAGAAAAAAATTATTTGTATGTTATCCCGGTCAGGAACCAAATACCGGCGTTTAACGACAGCGACACCTAGGAATCTGCGTATGAGTTTGCGTTGCGTTGTGTATGAGAAAACAAGATTTAAGTTTTAAGGTTATTATAATGTTGTGTAAATTGTATGAAAAACATGCAAACTAGGACTTTCCTAAGCACTAAGTACTGTGCAAACTACAAAGGCGTAAATCCTCACAAACGATTTTCAAATAACCTCCCTATTGCCCGTCTGAATCTAAGGTGGATTGCTAATTAACGCTATCTTACTTTTACCATTTAACTAGGTCTAAATTGACTAGAGTAATGAATTCGTAAGATAATTGAAATCTCAGTTCTATCGAAAATTCGAAAAGCAATTCTACCTAAGCTGTTTGAAAATTAAAATCCCAGGTCAGATTCTAACCTGTTCTTCTCATTTGATATCCCGTGTGTGAGCACCAGTTGTTCCAGCATTTGCAGTCGGGATAGAGCAAGTCGCGGATGCATTGACGCGGGAATCGGCCGCACCAGCTGCTGCGGGATCACGTGCAAACTCCTGTGACGTCAAAACAATCAGTGTAAAAATTACTAACCGATATATTATCTTGTTCTCAATATCAGTCAGTGATACCTTATCGATACAAGTTTTAAGCTTTCATGGCGGTTAATTCGTTTAATATGCAAGATTGAATAACATATCATATATTTGTTTATTCTGATGTTCCTCGTCCGATGATAAATAAGCATCTTCCATCAGATATGTACCGACCAAATGCCGACCCTTCGTGCATGTAAATGAAACAGACACCTAACACGTTGTATTTAACACTTTATTGCAGTTGAAACAATTCTTAATATACAATTAAAACAATTTCAATCGTATTCTTGGTCACCGCTGTAATTAAAGATTCACCATGCGCCACATTATTTTAAACTAACTATATCTAGTTAATTAATGTTTATAATTTACCTGACATGTGGACAATCTGCAACAGTGAGTACGGTGTGTTGTGCTGTAGAGTGTACCCTCGGCGCGGGATCACCGCACGCTCTCAATAGTTCCGGGAGTAACTTCTCTAAACATCTTCCCACTTCAGCAGCACATACCCTAATAATATCGAACTTACTATATATAAGATTTCTTCTTAAATACCAGCAAGAATCAAAAAGAGTAGATAGCGAACATAAAACAACGTTTTAACTACCAGAAACTTAAATATCTGGGTCATGTCATGAGATATCAAAATTCCAAGGAAAGATCCTGGGGCAAGCGTCATGGCTAAAGAATTTGCGCCAATCGTTCGGTTAGAGCACTCGAACGGATCAACGTTTAGGGCAGGTCTATCAAATGTGGAAATTACCTTTATGATTGCCAAACTCCTTGCATCCACAGAAAAAGAAGATCTACCAGGTTAACCAGATCACTGTTTCGCCCGCATGAATTATAATATTTTTTGTGCTAAATTTCAACGTAATCCGTCTAGTCAGTTGAGCTGTGCATTCATAGTTTAGTCAGCCACCTCTACACTCATAGATTTCAGCAAATTACGAAAGAATACTCTGTACTAAAAAGAACGAGCAAGTAATCTTCTTGTTTTCAATTATAAAATAACGTCAAAGAGAAATTGTCTATTTACAAAATTATACTAGTTTAAAGCAACATTACCTATTCAAATTTAGAAGATTCTGTAATTTGTGTAAATCTTATACGAGTACTCGGTTTGATAAAGAATGATCATTAATAAAATATTGCTTACGTGATTGTAGCTTAGAAACTTATGAAATATTTATTATGACATCATATTTACCTGTCCGGTACAAATTCTTGGAACAAAACCCTCACAACTTCATTGGTTTGGCTGTATACTGAGAACACTTTATCCCTTAATGTTCTCTGTAGCAATATGGCGGCCGCTCTGGCTGTCTTGTTAGGCGATGTCTTTGTGCTTCCATTGGTGGGCGCTGTGAGTTCAGCCCTAAGACGAGCTAAGCCTTCCTCTTTGTCTAGATAACTTTTGGAGTAGAATTTCTCGACCTGAGAACAGGTTAAATATTGGTGGACACGTTTTTTTCTATAGCTATATTGAAGATAAACGTGCAAAGTTTTTTGATCATATGATAAGTGATAAGCAGAGGTCGGAATTAGGTAGAGTTATTTATGTACTTGCATCGAAATGTTGATATTAATGTGGACCTTCCCGGGATTTCTTTATTTCTTCTTTCTTTCTTTCATTGATGTAAGTTTGACAACGTCGTGCGTGCAGTAGTTTAAATTGTGTAAAAGTTAATAACTTTTTATTTAAAAATCACGGGATTTTTTCTGCTTTTTAAAATTAATCTCAGGATTTGAGGCATATCCACTTTATTCTTTCGCTGTATGAAATCAGTGTAAGAACATGAATCTACCTAATTCCGACCACTGGTGATAAGAGAACTTTACGCATACTTCATATTGAGCATCAGAAATATGAAATACGTACCAGAGTTACAAGATGCATTGAGTGATAGGGTAATGAATTTTAATGCAATTTTCGTACCAATTTATTGATATTTTTATAAATTGTATGTTTGATATCACATAAATACATAATAAAGCAAATGTGGAACACGAATTGTATGCATCTACCTACATAGACTAGAACTTAAACTTACCAGAGGGTATCCGAATATAAGTATAGGTAAAGCAGCCTGTTTTCTCTCTCTTTCATTGAGCTTATGCGGCTGTAACGGTCGCGGGTGGGAGGCAGCGCTGCCGCCGCTACATTCCTCTTCCCTCGCCTCCCTTAAATATTCATTGGTGTGGGAGCTGTTACCGAAATTTCAGAACATTGTTTTAGTTCACAAATACTGTAGTCCTACTATTCATATTGATTATTAATTAATCAGTAAGAATTTTACAGTTTCTTTCATGGTCCAATAATATACTTAAACCTACTATCAGCATTAAAAGTTAATATAATATTTGCCTTATCAGTAAGTAATCGATGAATGCTAGATTTAAAACTTTCTATCAACGCAGAGGTATTATACATATTAGAGATATTAAGCAAAACAAACAAAGAATGCGATCTTCAACTTGTCTTTCCTTTGAACAATACTCACGTTGTGCGAATTACTTCTAAAAATGTAATCTTTAATGAAGGTCAACCAATAATCACCTAAAAAATGTTGTGACACTCGAGAATTTTCACACGAAATCGAAACACATATAACGCAAGCTTGCTTCATCTATGAAGCATTCTCCCATATGGGTTAAAGTACCTACCTAAATATTAATTTTTTAAATAAGTTTTTGCACCAAATTCGCACTTTTCGTTACTAATCTACTTAGTTGCAAACCTATTATCTGCAGTATTGTACAGCATTGTAGCAAAAAACTAATAAGCTACTCAAAGATCTATTAAAAAAAGAAAACTATTTTATCGTGTGACATATATCGAATAGAGTAAAAGAGAAAAGTAATCTAGAGAATAATTTGTCTAAAAAATATGAATCTACACATTCTTCGTAATAACGATGTAATTAGATAATTATGTAACTATCTTTTTAACTAAGTATCTAGTGATTACTGTTTTGCTCGTTCAAGTAACTAGTTTATTATTTTTAGGAAAATTCTAGAAGTATAGGTAACTAGACAATGTAGACTTGCTATTGTTAACTAAAGGCGACGTCATCCCGAAAAATGTTTTTTTCCCCATTATTTCATATCAAAGCATAAAATCCTGGTTTAGACTAGCTTTTGGCATGCTGATGCTTTAACAGTCGATGTCGAAATAGCATAAAGTACCTACACGAGATTTGTATAATAGCACTAAATTATTTAAAAATAGCATAAAATATTTCGCTAACACAAAACAGTATTTACCTCTTATCAAAGCTCTCGATCTTACGTAGTCTAAATTAGATAAATAATTGTATTCAGTATAATTATTATATTGAGGAATTCGATGCCGCAGTGATCGAGTATTCGATTTGCGAGTGTGGAGATTATGAAACTTTCTCAAAGGCTGATTGTCTGATTGGTGATCGTTAACACCCACAAATTCACACTGGGTACGCGTGAAGGATTAGGGGCTTTTGTTTGTTTCCTAGCAGTAGCAACATTAACAAGCTATAGTATTTTTAATAAAAAATACGTAAAAGTTGTTAGAAACATTGAATTAATTTTATTAAGTTATAGAGTTCTTGAATTCAGACACCCGTAATAGTTCCCTAATGAAATTCGGTTGTAGGTGGATACTTACTGCCTCAGAGCTGGTAGCAATCTTTCTTCATAAGCTTCGAATGTGGATCTTGGTCCTGCACTCTTATTTCTACGTCTCACTAAAGTACCTGAAAAATAATGAATCGTAAATAGTTACTGACCGCTATACCGTAAGGTGTGATTTAATTTTGTTATTCTTGAATTATATTGCAACAAACCATTTTTGTCTAAATTAACTTAACGGCAAATCTAATTTGAGGTTACAACTAGATAGTTTAAATTGGATTGCAATGGCTGGTCTCAATTAGAACAATGCCTAAATGAAATAGGGCCAACAACTAATCTGAATGGGCTCAACAGTTACTCTAAATCGGATCAGCATATAGTTCAAATTAGGGCCATACACATACGAGTAAATCACTGAACGACAATCTAAAAACAATGATTTGAAGTTGATACAAAGTAACAAAATTATGTATCAATTACAAAATTCAATAACAAAACTGGAATTTTAGTTAATATTTGCCAAAAGTATCGCAGATTATTATTGAAGCAAGGTTATTATCAAAAACTTTTTGAAATCCATATTTTTTATCAAGTTTCTAAGTAAACGCTGGATTCACCAATATTCACACCTAATTTTGAGTCAACACAACAACTAACAAGAAAAGAGTGATGCTAACTGTATTAATGAATCTGCACCAACAAAAAACTTTTAAATGCAATAAATAAATGCACAGGAAAACTCAGTGAGGATAGATTACTAAGTACCTACTTTAGTTTTTGTCTTTGATTAATCTTACCATTGGCAGCATTTGGCGTGATACTCCTCCTAGGGCTATCAGTTTCCTTCCTCAGTTCATCTTCCTCGATCTTTTTTGCATCAACCTTGTCTTCATGTACAGGCGGTGGCGGCTCAGGAGAAAGTTGCCGGATTTCTTCTTGGACAGGTTCAATGGGTGACTAATGAACCAATTCAACCAACCATTCAAATACATTAGGATAAATAAGACAAGTTGAAAGTTAAATTTCAAATCGAAAATATTTTATAGATGGTGCTCACCATCACTTGCGTTTAATTCCTAGTATTCGTAGATATTATTCGAAATTGTTGACGTGTTCAAAGAGAAGCATAAACGGAAGGGAGGATAAGTAAAGAAAATTTTGAAAGTTGGTTACCATGTTTATAACTCAGGTGCATGTAATAGTTATTTATTATATGAGACAATATTTTCTTTACCTCGGCACGTTGGTTTTGAACTTCTTCCTCATCGTCACCGTTAACTAACTCCCGTTCCAGCTCAGGTTCATCGATGGGCGGCACTGGTGATGGAATATCTAAACTGAGCGACCCAGCGACGACAGACGGTGACAGGTGATGAGAGAAGTCATATTCTTGTGGCATCGACGAATCATTGCGGTGATCGGGCTGAAAGAAAAGTCTCCATTTAAGTTTTGGGTTATTATTACACGTATAAACGTAAAACTGGAATTTATTTCCAACAGAATTTAAAAGCAGGAGCTGAATGTGCTTTTTGCAAACTTTAACAAAAGCCAGTGGCGTAGCTACTAAGGGGCTAGGCGGGGCAGTGCCCCGGGGCCCTCAAGCTCAGGGGGCCCTCGAATCTTTACCAGAAAATCTCAATCGAACTCAACTTTTGTAAATTTCTCCCACCTTCAAAATAAAAATGACAGGTGACAACTCGAGTTTAATCATGGAAACTCAGTTGTGAGTAATTCCAAAGTTATAATTAGGTACCCTCCTTTGCGTCGCGCAGTCGGGTAAAAAGTGAATTCCCGTAAATTATTTGTGTGGGTTGACAGTGTTATTAATGTTTTCATCAATTTGTTGGAAATCAATATCTGCATATTATTATTTATCGATATGCGTTTTTGTGATTCGCGATTGTGAACTTGAAGAAGAGAAAAGTTAAAAAGTTATTGTATTAGGAGTAAGTAATCGTATGTCAATAAATTTTTTGTAATGGTCCATACAAAAGTTCAATTTTATTTGATTGTAGTCCGTCAAACCGTCAAATGCAGTAACACTGATGGATTGCGTCAAGTGTTTGCCGGGGATTCCCCAACGACACCTTGTATCGTATCATTTGCATTCATTTACGTTTCGCTTTCCTTTTACTTGTAACGTTGTCAGTGAACAGTGAGTACCTACTTGAGTACAATCTTACATAAATATTGCATAAATAAATTAGAAAACTAATATTATGGACAAAAAAAAGAAACCCGGTGGTGCATTTAAACGCAAACAACGCCAAGAAAGAGGAGAAAGTAAACAAAAATTGCCCAAAATTGACAAGTTTTTTAGTCAGCCTTCTGCAAGTACTTCTGGATCAAATATTTCTATTGATAATTTTTGTAAATAGCTTGCATGGCGATAGGTTAAATAACAGTAAACTGGTGCAACTTATCTATGATTAAATAAATATATAATAAACCCTTGAATCTTTTTTATTTCGTTTTATTGCCCAATACCTACACCAAGTATAAAAATTATTGTAATTTATGTTGTTTAATAGTTTTATTACCTGCCTATGCACGAAAAAGAGCTGATGATAAAGTTGTTTAGCATTTTTAAAGTATTTGTATATTTAATGATTTTACTTCAAAAAACCTTACCAGTTTTGATAGCAGTGGGCCCCATTTTTTTATTTGCCCCAGGGCCCTAGATTACCTAGCTACGCCACTGACAAAAGCATTTTATTATTTATTACGCTTAACTAGCTGTAAATTCTATTACCTACTACCTAATTTTGTAGTCTATTAAATGTAAACAAACAACCAAATCTTTCCTCTTTATAATATCAGTACACATACCAATAAATTTTGTAATAGAAAACAAACAAGTGAATATTAGGACAGACTCTAAGCATTAGTGTAACTATCCACATTTGAGGCGTCTGATGGGTTACTCTATAAAGTCTGTGATGACCTTTACACGTAAATAAATAAAATGGTATAAAAATTTTGATTTTGATATCTTGCTATCATGTCTTCCAGTGGATCTGAGGTGATTCTATTTACGCCAATGTCACAAACTTATTTCAGATTTTAGTTACTATAATTACTGCAACAATACATCTACCTGTCTCTACTAATATCGGAAATGCAGAATTTAAATCAAAAGCCAATTATGGATCAAACTTACTAGAATTTCTTCAGGCAGATTAAGATGTTCCAGCTGAGTGTCTTCTTTGAACTCAACCAGAGCATCAGATATCCTACCATCCTCCTGGTCAATTTACAAACATTGTCAATTTTAATAAACCTTACCCCATCTTCTTCAAACAGTCTGCAGAGCTGTGGATCTTCTTTGACTCCGACGAGGGCATCAGCTATCCTGTCCCTCATTCTCCTGGCTAACTCGAAGTCATCTCTAGCTGCCGCGGTACGCTTACGTAACCTCCATCTGCCTATTCGTATACCAGCCGCCGCTAAAGCTGATCCCGCGGACTTTAAACGGCGTGCATATTCGAATCGTTCCTCTGGAAATTTTGAAAAAATAAAATAATAATTTAGGCTTTTTTATCTTTTGTTAAATCCATATTTAGACTATATTGCATTAATTTTGTTTTTGTTTCTACAATCTACAAAAGATCCAAAATATGCAATAAATCATTCAAAACCGTTGTTTTATCAAAATAACAGCGTATGCGGAAACGTAAGACATGTTTTAATCAGACAATGTAATGAGCAAATTGATTTAAAAAATCAATCTTCTTTGTCTTTAGAATGCCATTTATTAAAACATCAACTTATTCTGTGAATTAGAACCTTATATCTAAACCTTTAGGGTAGAGGTAAATAGTGAGACATTTAGTTAAAAATCTCTCAATTAAAGCCCTTACCAGCCACAGCGATCTTCTTCTTCTCATCTAAAGTCCTGACCAGGTCTGCTATTTCGGTATCCACGTACATAACGAATGCGAGGTCATCGTACGGTGAGTAATTGGGTTCCGATTTTGGTGATGCTTCAGGGAACTTTTCTGGGTCCTCTATTTCTTCACCGAGGACATTGACAGCCATAAGAGCTACCTGAATTTTAATGATATGTATTAAGTTTTTGAGTTTTAAAACATAACACGAAATTTTCTTAATACAATTTACGGAATATAACTACGATCATACTTCGGTGCTCAGTTGAGTAAGAATAGAATTATATTATTTGGTGTAACACCATAATATATAACACAAAGCGAATTATTGTTAAGATAAAAAAGCACCAAAATTATTTTCTTTTTAAAGCTATTTTAATTTGGTCAGGGCTTGACTGATGAAAATATTTGGATCTTCAATACGGAATTTCTTACCTGCTCATCTTCTTGTGCCGGTGCATGTGGTCCGGAAAGTCTTAGTTTCACAAAACGTGCTATGGTTGGTTCTGGAAGTGCAGCCGATCTAAAATATAATTTCAAAGGTAAACTAAGAAAGCTATCAATGCCATATCATCTTAAATAAATAATAATTCATTTTTAACAAGTCGTGAAGTTTATTTTGGAAAATAGTTGTATTCAGGTAGGGTTGGACTCCATTCTTAAGCTAACAAGAGGAGTTCAAGAATTTAATCAAATATTGGTGTAAATATTTAAGAAAACCACAGATCATTAGACACTGGCTCAAGTTTAAAAGTTTATCCAAAACGGTTCTTTTAATCTAGTTCTTTCCTAAAGCTAAAATTATAGGACTATAGTTTTTGCGATTAGCCAGGCAAGACGTCTTCCAAAATTAAATGGATCGCACGATAACGGTAGGTGTTATTAAAAATTATAAAGCCATCAACCAACACGTAAGAAGTATAATGAATGTAAGAAAGTTTAATGATTCGATAGTCATTGGATCTACTATACATAGTTAATTAAGATAAGACGGCAATCAATACGGTATTTTACCTGAGCTCCCTGGTCCGTGCTTGTAGCGTGGGCCGGGCCAAGGTGACCCGGCCCACGCTGGTGTAGGTGGCCCCGCACGGTGTAGCCGCCCCCTCCGATATCAATCCGCCCGACACTAGCACCTCAACGCATTCCGCTAAATGAACAATATAATTATAATTTTACGTAACTCGAAAGGTCTCAAAATCACAAAGAATTATTTCTTTGCTATAATAAAAAATCAAAATCCATGATTCTTGGTCTGGTAGAGAACGTTAATAATTAAATGTCTTTAGGTAGGCACACATTAAATTAAAACGTTCTAAAAAATACACATTATTTGATAAATTCACCATTTCTCAAAATAAAGTTGTAAATATGTGAGTCACTTTGTAGCTGAGGGTGAGATTGAGAACTTTAAAATGATTTAATGGTTTTCGTATATTATTGCCGCTCTATATCGCGCAATATGCCATCCTCTATCCATATTTATCTTATTAATTAAAACAATAATTTCATAGCGAATTCTAATTATATTTATTCATTATTTTTACATTATCAATCTTTATATTACAGGTTATTCGAAAAGATAAACTCGATTACGTTCTTAAACTTAGCATCACATTCAGAGATTTAATATTATAGGTAAAGCTTTTAAACTTTGTTAGTTTGTACGTGGTAATGTTTGGAAATACTGGGGGCCAATTCTACTAAATAAGTTTTGATTAAATCGAATCGAAAATGGATCTGAAACGAATCGAAACCGAACGAAACTACAGTTTTTAATGGTTTTCCTACTCTACAAAGTGACATACGATACAATTCCATACAGTTCTATTTTAGCTAGAATTGTAACGTATGTCACTTAGTAGAATATTAAAAACTGTAGTTTCATTCGGTTTCGATCCGTTTTCGATTCGATTTAAACAAAATTTATTTAGTAGAATTGGCCCCCTGATCCCCTGATCATGAAAACACTTTCACTTACGAGAAGTTACATCATGGCAAAGGTGTAATTTACGCAGGCGATGTCGCGAAAAACAACTAGTTTAATATACTCTAACAATAGCAGAGCAGTTTTTTTTCTGCCAGTTGCCTCATTCTGCCTCATTAAAAATCAACAATTAGTGAATGCAAAATAATTATTAAACACTCAATCCAGTTTTAAATGTTACATTTAAATTTATATCTTGTATTTTACTAAAATCGTAATCAATTTTAAGCTTAATAATAAAAATGAGAAGTTCAAACTTGTTAGCAATTATTGCGACAATGGTGAAAACCTTTTAACACCTCTTATATTTTTCAACATAGGATGAGTACAAAGCGGTTCGATATCGACAAGGTAACCTAAAATTACAGTAGAGTCATGCCGAAATAATTTATCTTCTAGTTTATAATAGAGTTATATCCTTCCTTTTGGTACATTATATTAAGGGATGGTAAAAAGTCAAAATTAATAGAACGTGATAAAAGATAAAAAAAGACTGTATAAATTTTGAAACTTGTGTGGAATATTTTGAACTTAAAACCGATCGGTAGAACAAGCTTTGACGATTCACCAACGAAAGTTGAGAAAATTAAAAACATTGGTAAGGAAAAAGTGGCATAAAAGTAAGAAGTACCGATACGGCAGAAAAACTGATCAATGGACTGAGTAACCGAAATCTGTGAGATAAATTAACCGGTATTTTAGGCAAACTATTTTGTTTTATTCTTTGACTAACCGATTATATAAATAACCGAAATCTCCAAAAAATTATGAAGCCTTACGATCTGGGCTAACAATGTCTGGTCTCTCAATTAAATTACTTTGACACTTGAACTTGAATAAAAAGAATAATTTTAATTATTTAAGAGACTTGAGGTACTCGTTAAAATTAGCGAATGAATGCGGTCGCAAACTTTATTAATACTGCATACGAGATGTATAAATTTGAAAGTTGTCGTCCGAAGCCTATTTTATCTTTCACGTAAACTTACGTATTAGCTGATGATGTGCCAAAAGTTGTAGTTTGTGTACATTGGTGATGCAGGATAATCGAAGGAGGAGCTCGTGGGGCGGAGCGCCCGCACTCCGCCACCCTCTAGCTGCCGGCCCTTGGGAGTTCAGCTCGCATGCTGGGTACGAGCTATCTTCGCCTATCATAGTTAATTATTTTTGTAATGTTGCTTGTGGTGAGAAATGAAGTTATTATTATGAAAAAGAGGTTAAACTTAATTTTGCTCCTGGTCCTTCGAAGAATCGATGGAATTATTAATGAGTTAAGCGGGGTATTCACTGAACTGGAATACCCGCAGGACCTAGCTACTATAGGTTTAACAGCAAATATACACAGACCTATAATAGTAGAGGATCAGGCGGGGATGCCCGTCTAGTGAATTCCCCGCTTGAAAAAATATATCCAGGGTTATATCAATGTAAAATTATCTCCTCAATCTAAACATCTGAATTGAGGAATCACATGAGATATGGAAATTAATTTATGTATATTGATGAGAATATTGTATGATTTAGTAGCACCTACTAAATATCTGTATGAACTTGAGATATTAAATTCTTTTAAATACCTTTACCTATCTCCCCGAGAATAAGAGTAGTAAATCTACAAATCTATTATCTTAAATAATTAGTCGAAAGACCTCGGTTTAAAATATAAAAGTAGTCGTAAGGACAAGAACGTTGAATTTACCAATATTGAATGAAAATGAAAAATATTACCTATTTTCCCTATATATTTGGTGGATAATATAAAAAATAAATTCTACTTTGTAGAATCATAGCTTATATTTTACTATTTTCTTTAAAGTAAAGTCACAATATTTTATTATATAATAAACTTATTATAAGTACTTTTAAATGGACATGGATCCAACATTTTACCTACCACGTAATAATATAAGAAATATTTACTTACTTGTCGCGTAAACGACGTGGAACGGAATACGTTTCGGCATTACTATATTTCATCACTACCTCTTTACCACAATCATCATGAATTTCTTTTCTATCACTTATTTTATCAAAAACAAAAATTATTTAACACCAAAATATAAAAGCACATTTTTCTTCTAGCTAAAACTTTCCAATTAAATGAAACCCCAAAATATTCCATTTCTGTGAAATCATTATAGGTTTTTAACAAAAAGCTTTTTTAAATAAATTATTATAAATTGTGTAACGTAGGAGCCGGAACGGAGAGTGGTGAAGTGAGCAATAAATGAAAAACGCGCGGAAAATCAATAAACTGGCGGCCATCTTCTAACACGGTTTTCCTTACTTAATATGGTGGTGCCATCTGTGTACGTTTGAAACAAATGCAACTAAACATAGAAACTTTTTCTAAATTTAAACTTATTCTCTTAAATGTTAAATAGCAAAAGAATACTGATTTTCCTATGTAATATTTGCATATAATGAATCCTGGATGATCGAACTTTACTCGGTATTATTTTATGACAAATTAAATAGATTTATCGCTCCCGAAGCCGCCTGCATAATAAATTTCATGAAGTTCGTTGGAGCTGATTTCCGAGATTCAGGTATTCTTTCTACGATAACATATGCACCGTCTCGATAAAAACAAATATAACCACCTAAGAGGGTTCCGTACCAACATGAAATTTTTTGAAATTATTCTGTAACTAAGCTGTGCTATATGTCTATTTAAAATATTTGCCACTGAATTCCAATATGGATATACTAAATGCTGACGTTAGTATAAGAGTTTTATGTTATTAATAGTTAGTGATTATAAGCTCTATTATCGCGAGAAAAATTGTAATGTAGAGCATGGTGTAGATAGAGTTTCGTTATATATATTTTTTACACGCTTTATTAAGTAAAGGATATAATCAAATATATACAACAAACAACATATTTATTTATATTATATTTCTGGGACTGGTATTATATTATATTATATTATATAGAAGTTTGTGGGTAATGGATATAATTATATGAGTAACAGAGGTTTCCTTTGAAATGCATGTACTCACTTGAATAGCAGAATCAAAGGAGAGAATTTAAAAAGTATATAATAATAAATTCAATAAAAACAAATATATCCCCAACCAAAAACTCGTTCTCAAAATTATTAAAATAATCTACACTCGTATTATAAAGAGGAAAACTTTGTATGTTTGTTTGTAATGAATAGGCTCAAAAACTACTTGACCGATTTTAAAAATTATTCCACCATTCGAACATTATCTACTACAACATTCGCTACATTATCCATGAGTAACATAGGCTATATTTTATTTTGGAAAAAAATAGGGTTCCTTAAGATATTTGGGTTTTTCGGACACAAGGTGTAAAAAATCAACCAGAAAAGTTACTTATTTTGTATACGCTGCCTAAACTATAAAAGATAGAAAATTAATTGTTGATCTTATAAATATCTACAAAAAAGTCCGCAACACTCTATTCCTATCTATGTCGTGTGAGGCACAATAACCATTATTTATTTAAAAGCTTGATTTTTTTGGACTACATTTAAACGGGTTTATTTCACTCATGCTATTTATCCTTATCAATATAAATTACATTTACAATCACTAAGTACAGTTTATGTAGATAATATTTGGCCTTTGAATGATTAAAATTGGACGTTTGGTTTTGAAGTTATGGCGAAATTAAAATATTACGATTTCTGCTGCACGGCCCGTTGCGAAGTGGACGTCACCAAAGCGGGGGTGCGCGTGCGGGAGGGGAGTTTAGATCTATGAGTAAAGTACCAGCGGACCACGAGGACGAAGTCGCTGGCGGAAAGCTAGTCTTTAAAATAAAAATAAGCTTGGCTGAACAAAATTCTGATTGCAGTCGGAGGAGTTTTGCCCCCGACTATAATGAGAATTTTTTTGTGACTACAGACTACAGTGATTGTTTGTGTCGAAGCTTTTGTTTTTTACCAAAGCTGTGATATTGAATTGTTTTTTGATATTGAACATTTTTCTTTAAAAAGGATCCTGGTAAGAATAAAACTACAAAGTTACCCCTGAAATTGATAATTTTTACGTTAATTCTCTTTTAATAGAAAAAAATGGATATTATGTTAAGTCACTTTGTAGCTAAAGACTTTATGGTGAACTTTTACAATAATGATAATGATTAGATAACGATTGATTAAAATCATTTTTGAAGTGCAATTTCTATCTATTTGATTGCTCTTTCATCTTGATTTCAAATATAAACTGTAAATGAAAAAATAAAACACAAAAAAAGCAATGAATTTCAGTAATTTATTTAAGACAATAGTTAGCGCCTGGTGTATTACTGACTATCCAGTCGAGCAGTACAGGCACGCGGGTGTTGACTCCCGGCTTGCCAGCGGTGGCGCAAAACTGTCCTGAGCTGACTATGCCAATGTTGAATAAAAGACCTGAATTATCCGTGTACAGCAGGGGGCCTCCAGAATCATCCTGCCAATAGAAATAATATTAAATTAATTTAAGATTTCAGTAAGAGCTAGATCACACCGAACATAAGTTTATATTAATGTTAAAATGGAATGTATAAATAAACAAGCATAACCATTTTGATTTTAAGAATAAGGCCGTTGAATTCATAACCGTTTGTATAGTAGTACACAGCTTTAGCATTTAAACATAGCACACATGTGCATACCTGGCATGCATCTTTTCCTGGAGTATACGTGCAGATTTGTCTGCTCGTCAGTGTTGGAACTGCGGACTGGCACGAGTTTTGACTGATCACATCCACGTTGACTTTCCTGAGTACATTAGACTTGGGACCGCCAGGGAATAGAGTACCCCATCCTGGAAAATAATATTTACACGTTAACCGTTTAATGTAATATTAGTAATCAGGTGACCCGAAATATTAGAAACCCACATTAGGAAAGAAAATATTATAAAAAGTTAGGAAATACATTAAATTAAGAATATCATTAAATAAGAATCCATGTCAATGTGGGAGTAACAATTCGCCGTGTTTATTCGTATGATTTATTTATTGGTAATTGCCCAGTAAAACAAATAAATGGTACTCTCTATCACCTCAATTAGAAGGGTCGTATAGGCGAAGATGTTTTATAAATAACCAATTACGATGACGACGCCTTAAAACAACAATATTCAACCGTACAGGATCAAATAATATAGAACCCATTTCTGTGTACACACTGTGACTTATATATTTATTTACCATTTTCCATTAATGATATTTATCATTGTAGCACTGTGAATGCAAAATTGATAAAATAATACAAATAAAGAACATTCTTTGAATGCAAATCATTCTTCTTACCAAGAATAGTTAGTTGTGCTCCAGTCATGTCGTTGTTCGTGTATTTGAATGGCAAACATACAGGTCCCACTCTATCACTGAACACTATGTCGCTTTGTAACCTCAAAATTGCAATATCGTAATCGTAGTTTGAGCTGTAATCAAACGAACAAATAAAAATTATTAAACTCAATCAAATAAACGAACTGCAAATGTGATAAATAAAAATTTGATTGAACCTCTAACGGTGCGCCCGCGCCGTGTGTAAAAAAACAGCTTCGAACGTGTGTATGTGTAGTAAAAACAGTTTTTGTTTCTTTTTTTCTGTTTATGTGGGTAAACAAACGGTGACAATATACAGAATATTATACACAACGGCATGTTACTAAACGAATCAATATTTTTGCCCCAACAACATTTACCACAATTAGGAAAACCTTTAATTTTATTCTATGATAGAATCTTCACAAATCAAGCCGTACAATAATAAATGACATTAAATAAAGAACGTGACTCCTAGTTTTAAAGAAAGGACAGGTTTAAAATGTAAATATTTCGCTACGTTATATCTAACTTCATTTTCATAGAACACCCTTTCTTACGAATATTAATGGTAAATGAAACCCTTACCTTGTGTAAAGTGGATGTACAATAAACTGGCTTATTAGATAACCAGCTGTAGCAGAGGAGTCAGCTGTAAAGTAATTAATACAATAAAAGCTTGGAGTAAATAGTGTTGAAATAAGTTATAAATAAATGTTTCACTAAAGAAACATAATAAAGTTTGTTCTAGAAATTTGTCACTACTTTTCCTAGTAGATTCACGAAAACAGAACCATTTATTCAACAAACCAATATATCATACAACCATTTTTTGGCCATCGATTTAATATGCGTACCCAATTTCAACTCAGTCGATGGTAGTTGAGCAAGTCAGCTGTGAAAGACGGATGGGCGGACAGACAAACGTTCCGATCCAACAGATTAAAAGATTTCCGTTGGCTTCTTTTAATACAGATTTGCAGGACAGTCGATTTATTACCTCCACTATTTACGTCGTGTTCTCCAGCAATGACTGCGAGCCCGCTAGGTGTGAACCCTTCGAGACAGTGAGCGGCAGTAAGAACATATCGCTTATCGATGATCACACCACCACATTTGATCTCATTGATCCTGGGGTCAGCTAGACCCACCATCATGGGAAACTCATTGACGCCCGTCTCAACTCCGCCTACGATACGATTCTGTAGATCACAAAGTATTTATTATCAGAATAGTAAAAAAAGTTATTATAATGTAGGTAAGTACTATGCGAACTTCGTGCCACTTTAGAATTAATAAGGATAGTGTTAAGAATACCTTGTATCAGTTCATGAGATCATTACCCGAAATTATATTTAAATCGGTTACATTGAGCTGATTAATAAAATAAACTGTATTCAGTGTTAAACTTCAAAACGGCTCGAAGGAGTTAAAAAAATAAATCGGTAACTAGCAGAACATTAAAGACAAATCGAACAAATAAAAATTGTAAAATTCATGACCACCATTCTGGAGTTGTTAATAAATTTTGAGACTTTTTAAACCATGTGGCAAACTAGGAAAGTCTATGATAAGATTAAGTTTAAAAAAAATGTTTTATACCAATAGAGTCGTCCAAATTTGCCGAAAGCCAGTTCTTAACTGATATATTGCTCATTAATATCCTATTGATTATGACCTCTACTCTAAAGCAATATTTTCTATGAAGGTATTACCATCTAGATTTTAAAAATATTGTCTAAACAACTTGCGTAGCGATATAAGTAATTAGATATATCGTAGGCTAATCGTTGAATTGGGCCGATCAAGATCTGCCCGGGCATATCACGATATGCCGCCATTTCTTCATTTAGCCATCTATCATCCGCCATTACGTTCAATGCTAGTTTGACGATTTTCCCGACTATACCCCGGCCAGTCGATTTTGTAGGGTGACAAAAGTACTATTTAAGCAGAGATGGACAACAACCCGGGCTTTCTCTTACCGCCCATCTCTGTATATAAGCAAATAAAATGAAGTTTAAATAATAATTATTTATTTAAACAATAAAAATCAAGCATATCGACAAAAATACATTGCTTCCGTCGATCTGCCTAACTTTTAACCGGGCCGATCGTGATTTTACTGGCCAAATCAAGAAACGGCGGCGGAGATCTTGATCGGCCCAATTCAACGATTTGCCCACGACATACTTCTTCGTTTACTTATATATAAGTCGTATACTAATATAAAATTATTTCAAGATGAGTAGCTAAATTACTCGTACTATGAAATATTTGAAAGAACGAAGGAATCTCAACCCCCAATGCCGAGTGAATAAAGACAAGTTAATTTTGTACTTTGACCCGTTCAGGACTTACAGACACCGACACCTCGAAACCGGAGGTAAAAAACAATTGCTTGTAATTTTTTTAAGATCTGAAGGTGCCTTACTCAATCGCAGAATCGAAATTGATACAAGTGTTATGTAAATCAAAATATACCACACTCAATAAAATATACAAACAGATTCTACAAGTAGTTATTACACGTTACACTTCGTCAGTGTAATATTATAAATAAACACAGATGTACAATCTTCATTGTTTTAACAATCGACAAACACAGTAGCATCGGCATCTCAATCCAATTCAAATTTCAAATAAATACGAAAGTTTCTGAGGATGGACTTATGTACGTGTGTTTGTTACTTTTTCTGGAAGAAACTACTGAACAGCCCTGCTATTCTGTAAAAATCCAAACCCGAATTCGATTTCACCCAAAAAGCTGCATTCGCTTTATCTTGAATTGGTAATAAAGTTTCGTGACATAAATGAAGTGAATTTCCAAATGACATAGGACTAAAATATCTGAGAAACCCGTACATATAATCAATTTTGTTTTGTAATTTTATACAAAAAATGAAATCAGTAGAATTTGCACTATTACTACTTACTACCAAATGACGTGAATCATAAGAACAGAACATATCCGAAATCGAATACGGGTCTTGGTTTTTACAGAATGCAGAGCAGATTGAGGAAATTTGAATTTGGTATGCGGATAAATGTAAACCTCTATAAAATTATCATATGATATGATAAAATATCACATTGACTAATCGGTTCTCTAAGGATAAAATGTACTGTCAACACATCGTGTAAGCCACGCGATCGAAGCTATTTAGTTGTTGAACCTCAAAAACAAGAAGGCACGTGTTGATACTCAAATTGTAAGTTAAATTCAGTCTGAATAGGTGTATTGACTGTTAGTTTTACAATTAATTATTCCAAAACAAAAAAAGTATGTAAAAATTTTGTTTTATTTCAATCATAAACTTAATTTATTTCTCAGGCTCAAAAAAAAAATTGCTACAACCATGCGCTCCTGCAGAAATTCAGGCGATCAGTGTCATTTATAATTTTATATCAGTCTTTTGTTCGGTCTCAACTGGAATATGCAACTGTAGTGTGGAATCCTTTATTCAATAAATATAGTGATACAGTCAACTTGAGAGGGTACAAGAAAAAAATCTTCGCTCTGTTAACTATAAATGCTTTCACTCTAAATTATGTAATACTAAATACTATTACCTACGTAAATCTCTTGAAAAAAATTTAGTATTATGTCACTAGTATATGCATCAATACTTAACTTTTTTTTTTGTATAATTTCATGATATATATTTTATAATATGTCTATATACGCAAATTACAAAATAAGTAAGGTTTAAGTTTATACGTATCTGTTTTTCAAATTGTCAAAATGTCTGTTTAGAAACTCATGAAAATCGTATCGTATAGCCCTGAGCTATGAGACTAGCTTGTTGTGAGTTATTTATTTTTGTATTATTTTGTGAATAACGCGGCTTATTATATCATTAGGATAATTTTGTTAAATCATTTTATTGTTCGCAATATTATGAAATTGATTGTTGTTCCAAATAAAAACCAATAAAATTAAATGATGGTACTGAAAAACTATTAAAATAATATTTGTAAACACACACACATCCACACACACCACCAAACAAATACACATTTAAACTGATGTGACTATTAATTTTTTCTTTCCTGATCTTCTCTTGTTTTTATTTGTGCAAACTGAACTCGTTTGAAGTGGGCGCTAATCACTACTTGTTGTAAAATTTTATAGCACCTATAAAATTATTAGTATAAAAACGTTAATGACCGTATCCGGATATATGGTTATGTTCTGACAGAGGCAGCGACAACGGCAAAACACAGGAACGACGCTCATAAAAATATTACAACAAAATACAATATTAATGTAGACATACATAATAAATCTACAACAGACTGTAATTTTGACAATGACAAAAGAAACTCATTAGGTGCTACTAATATGAGACTTATACTTTTGAATACCTCGGATATAGATTCATGTCTAAAGAATTAAAAAGTGAATCTTACTTTAAAGGTATGGGTTCATAGAAATTAGAGCATAGCAGATTATGCCATACCGCCCCGTACGAGCGCCCTAGGCAGTTACCTGCTTCCTGTAGCCACAACTGCATGTACCGCCCGTCTGCTGCCGTTGAGCGTACAAGGAACATCTGAAACGTCCTCCAGGACTATTCAGAGCTGTTATCAGTCCTGAAATCAGTAATTCACATTAAAATTAAAGTAGAGAAAATATTATAATTTTTGAGAATACTTTAGTTAATATCATTACTTACGTAGTATTACCTAACTTCAGAATTTCGATTGGAATCTTTATTTATAAGAAAACTAAAGTTTACCTACTAAATCATATTTAACTCAAATAGAATTGATAATATGTAGGTGAAACTAAAAAATACAGTCATTTTTAAAGAGTTATTTAGTCCCGCGTTGGGCGCCATTAGAAGATCCTATGTAATCCATTTCTGCAATTAAAACCTACATTGCTAAACATATTTAAAGTATTTTTTATTTTCCGATACCTTGTTTTAAAAAACACCACTGAATTGTTTTTATTAGTTTATAATAATTTAAAATTAATAAATAAAATTCAGTATTGATATTTAATAATACTAACCCATTATACCTACACCATAAAATTATTTAAATTGGATCATGCTCTGCTCATTTGTCTTTAGTACTATAGTTTTGATTGCATTGTAGTTTTTTTTTAACATCCTAAGCATATTTTTTTTAAATAAACTCTTCATTCACAATGATGTGAGCATAAATAAAATAACTTGTTCATTAGCAAGCTCACTTCGCTCTTTGTTTTGATCACACCACGATTCAATCTTATCCTGATCAATACTTACAGATCTACTTACTTCTGATTCGAATCTGAATCTGATTCACATACAAAAGATTCGGTACTATCTATAAAGTTTTATGTGGACCTTTTTTTTACCCTTTGAATACGGACCTCAACAAGAACAATTTATGCAAAAAGAAGAAACTGATTTGCATAATACCGTTTTAGCGATGATGTCAATTTTAATTAATTGGTATCTTTTTTTTTTACCTATACTGAGTCTTGTTCCACTGGAAACCGATGAGAACTGCCCCTGTCCACAATAGTAATCCGCGTTGTTCAACTGTAGATCACCAGACCTGGAGACCAGCAGACGGTCCTGACTGCAGCTGCTTGTCTATAAAACACATAAATATTTTTCAAAATTTCTTTTTATGTAATGAAATTGCTTAGATTATCCTGGAAATCTAAATATATACACTGGACCGCAAAGAAAACGGGTCGGTTAGAAAATCGTCAATATCTTGAAAACTACTTAACTTATTTTTATGAAATAAAAACTAAATTAAAGATTATTTAATTGTAATTTATTGAATATAAAAAAATACAAATTAAAAGTTGTCTATTTTCAATAAATGTCAAACGAATGAAAAAGGTAGTTTTTCTGACATTTTCGTAAATATGAATTGTATAAAGATGTGACGTTTTTACGCATGTTAGTATTTCGTGTTGCCTCCACGAGCTTGCAAAACTGCGGCTATGCGATTCGGCATACCTTCCACAAGGTTTTTAAGGCGATGCTGCGGAATGTTCTGCCATTCCTCGATCAAAGCTCCTTTCAATTCACGCAGCGTGATTGGCGGCGGATTCCGTTGACGTACACGTCGTCCCAGTTCGTCCCATGCATGTTCGATGGGGTTTAAGTCGGGGCTTCGTGCTGGCCACTCCATGCATGTGATACCTACTTCGTGAAAATAGTCGAACACTATCTGAGCTGTATGCGGGCGGGCGTTGTCTTGCATAAAAACAGCATTTTCGCCCATATCTACTAAAAATGGACCAACATAGTCATTAAGAATTTCATTCACATATCGTTCTGCTGTTAAACTGCCATTTTCTATCACTACTAGCTCAGTACGGCTTTCGGAAGAAATCCCAGCCCACACGTGTATAGAGCCACCGCCATATGGTACTTTTTCTTCTATACAAGCTTGGTTATAGCGCTCTCCCGGTCTTCGGTACACTCTTTTCCTCCCATCGTGCTTGTATAAACAGAATCTAGACTCGTCTGAAAACATAACTCTTGACCAGTCATCCAGAGTCCAAGTTTCGTGTTCTCTGCTATAACTCAGCCTTGAGTTTAAGTGGTGTCTTTCTAATTTTGGGCCATTTGCAGGCCTTAATGGTCTCAAATTTGCTTCAGCCAGACGTCGCCTTACTGTATCTGTACTCAGATAGTTTCCTCCAGCTCGTAAATGGTGATTTTTTACCTCAACGGCCGTAAGAAATCGATTTCTCAAAATTGTTGACACCATATAGCGATCCTCCCGCGCAGTCGTGCACCTCGTTCGGCCTGTTCCTGGTCTTCTTAGGTTGGATCCAGTTTCATGGAAACGCTGGAGTACCCGCTGAACTGTGGAAAGACTCACACCAACAGTTCTCGCTGTATTGCGCTGACTGCGCCCATCTTCAAGCATTGTCAGGATCCTGGTGCATTCTTCAGGGGTTAACGACATGATGACTTCAGAATACAATTTTTGTATGACAAACACACGATATTTATTGTAGTTTTTATGTCAAAACTAAAACAAATGCGAAACAAATGCTTTGATTTTTTTAGAACTAAATTGAAAAACAACCATTATCTTCATTGCCAGTTTTCTTACACAATTATCTAAAGTAAATAAAAAGGTTTTATATACTATGTTAAATAACATTAAATATTCTTTAATTGAGTTTTTATTTCATAAAGCTAGGTGAGGTAGTTTTCAAGTTATTGAAGATTTTCTAACCGACCCGTTTTCTTTGCGGTCCAGTGTATATAACTCAAAGGTGACTGACTGACATAGTGATCTATCAACGCACAGCTCAAACCACTGAACGGATCGGGCTGAACTTTGGCATACAAGTAGATGTTATGACGTAGGCATCCGCTACGAAAGGATTTTGATCAATTCTACCCCCAAGGGGATGAAATATGGGATGAAAGTTTGTATGAAACTTTGTCAACTTTAAACCGATCGGGCTGAGACTTTGCATGCATAAAGCTACTATGACGTAGGCATTCCCTAAGAAAGGATTTTGATAAATTCAACCCCTAAGTGGATAAAATAAGGGATGAAACTTTATTTCAGGTATTTTACACGATATAATTAATAAATATTCGTTAGAAAGCTGCTCAAAGTAACTTTACCACGCGGACGAAGTCGCGGGCAAGAGCTAGTTGTATTATATAACGATGCTACTCGTCTTTGCTAAATCACAGTTTTAAACATTATTATAAACAGACGGACGGATTTGATACTTAATTTGGAATCTGAGTAATGTATGTGATGATGATGTCTAATATTTATATTTCTTTATTATATTTCTTTATTCAGTACTCACCTGGGGCATGTTGACTTCAGTGCAGTCCAAACGACAATTATACCCTACAGGGCAATCCGCTACCCACCGACATTGAACCCCGCGTCCATAAGAATTTGGATAATTTGGACTTTTCAAATCGTATGTGACTCCAACAACAACCTACAATCATGATATTTAAAAAAAATGTTAAATAAAAGATTATACTCTGTTATAAATTATTTATGATCAAATGAAACTACAATCAAAAAACTTACAGTTTGAAAGAAATTACAATTAGCATCCTGAGAGAGAGCGTAGTCTAATATCAGGAGAAAATACAGTGGCAGACATTTTATAAACATATCTGAAATGGAAATGCATTAATTAAATTTTCATGAAATCAGCGTTACTGTTTATTTCGAGATCATGACTAGCTATTGTGAGCAAAATGAAGACTAAAAGTCAATCTTAAAAATTCTATTTTTTTTTATAATACTTAATTATTATTAAATTATTTCTCTATATCGAATGGTTTGATTTGATTAGTAAAGAAATTTGTGAAAAACCTGTTAATCATATAAAAATTAATAAAGATAACGTTATTGACGATAGCAATATTGTTACGGACGCACGTCTCGTCGAGTTGTATATATTAGATGATCTTAAGTAAATTATATATAATAAGTAAGTTTAGTTAAATGAATGTGGTTAAAGCTTAGAATTAAATGATACAACCTATGGGTGTATTTATTCCCCTAGTATTAAGATAATTTAAGTTATAGCAAATTAAATTATTGTGAGGGGTTGGATTTTATTTGATATGGTTTTCTATAAGGTATTGCCTCGCTAAGGAGGCTTAGGTAGCTCTCTGTATGGTATTGCTTCACTCAAGGAGGCTTATGTGGGTTTTCTATATGGTATTGCCCGAGTCAAGGGAGTTTATGTGGGTTTCTATACGGTATTGCCTCGATACAGGGGTGTTTAAAATGTAAAATGTTCGACTACCTTCATGTTAACGATAAAAATGTATCGGAGCGAGACGGCGCTGGTTTACGCGGGATCTTCCGTCTCGCTCTGACCACATAAATACATCGGGCAAGAGCGCGGCGCGCCTTAGAATGATTATGAGCTTCGACGGCGCGGTCTTGCCCGACACGATACGAGTTATGTAACAGTAATATGATGATGTTTCAACGTGATTTATGATGTAAATGTAGAAACAGTAAAACGTAGTAATTAACAATAATGTGATACATAGATGTTAAGGGTGGGGGATGGCTTCGCAAAGTAGGGGTTAGATGTGTAATAGGCTAACCAACTGATAATATACGGAGCTAAGTGCGAGCCACCCCAACAAATGTAAGACGGGTCGATTTGAGCGAAATTTGTAAGCTCTCCGGCCCTCAAGATTTAAGAATAAAGAAGAAGTGAAAACCATCGAAGGAAGTTTCAATTATACAGTCCACCGCTCACCGAGCTACGAAGATAGAAGTTTGGTCCATCGCTCGCCGGATATATGAAGTCAGAAGACTGAAAAACGTTCCAGACCTACGGACATAGCCGAAGAAAACACTCGTGTTCTGTCACGAGTATACGCGGGTGGACCGCGGGCTCATTGCGTACACCACCTAACGGTGCCAAACGGTGTGCGTAGTGAGTTAACGCCGTTCAAGGCGGACGAGGTGGTCAGTTCGTTTCCGAACTACACGTCGTACTACGCAAGGCATTGTAACCATACGGACGAAGTGGTCAGTTCGTTTCCGAACTACACGTCGTATTTCGCGGGGCTGTAAACATACGGATTAGATTGATAGTTCGTTTCCGAACTACGTCTTACTACGCCAGTAAGGTTTGGCGTGGAGCGGGGGTCCTTTCTGTAGGCACTGCCAATGCTATCGGACATTCCAGCCGATACGCGAGCGCCCCGTTGTCCGCGACCGACTCTCTGCTGGGTAGTTCCTACCTTCCTATCCTGCACGATATCCATCCTCAAGCGGGCTCCCCAGTTAGCGTACCCGTTTGAGATTGATAGGAGTAGGGGCTGCAAGTAAGAAGAGGACATGCCAACGACGAGACGTCAAAGCCAAGCCGAACAAAGCAAAATGGACAGCGCTAAAGGAAAAGTGTTCGACAGGCCACCTGCGTCACCCTCGTGCCTTGCCTCATCCGTGATGCCGTCGGAAGCGCCACAAGAAACCGTAGAAGGTACCGCCGCACAGAGAATTGAACATCGCGACGATATGCCTAGATCGAGGCCACCAACGGTATGTTCGAATTCGAGCGTTGCTGCGCGCGTTAAGCAGGCGCAACTCGCAGCGGAAGAGCGACTCGCGGAAATACGACGCCGCGAGTTGCATATTGAATCGGAGCTAGTAAAAAAGAGATTAGCATACGAAATAGCTACTATACAAGAGGAAACCGATCCGGAGAGCTTACCCGCCGTCGATAATGTCCAACGAGTGGACGAATGGTTCCAGAATCTACGGCGTCAGAACGTGTTAGAGCCCATGTCGGAAAGGGACGGCGATACGGCCGCGCAACAGAAAAGGAAGGATGCGCGAGCCGTAGAGGTAGATAAACACCGCCACATTACGGACTCTCCCTTCAAGGAACAGAATGATGATAAACTAATCGATGAGACAGCAAACCGAGATCGGCAAACGATTAAGGAAGACTCGGGGATGGATAAGCTCGCTCATACGTTAGAAAGAATGATGAATAGGCGTCCGGTGCCGCGTCAGGCTCAAGAATTACCAATTTTTAGCGGCGCACCGGCCGAATGGCTGCCGTTTAAAGCAGCAATGCGCGACACCACAGAACAGTGGCACTTCACTAAATCTGAAAATATAGCCAGATTAAGGAGTTGTTTGAAAGGCGAAGCGAAAGAAGCGGTATCAGCGCTTTTGTATACCGTCGCCGATCCGGAGATAATCATGAAGTCTTTGGAACAATGTTTCGGTCGACCCGAAGTGATTATTTATCGAGCGCTAGAAGACATAAAGAATTTACCGCGACCGGGTACGACGGCAAGCGAACTCAACACGTTCGCAATTAAGCTTCAAAATATAGTATGCATATTGGATAATGTCGACGACCGAGGGTATTTGAGAAATCCATTACTAGTGAGAGAAGTGGTGGAAAAGCTTAGCCCCCACCTCCGATCGCGTTGGTGCGACTATGCATATGAATCCGGAAGCTACGCGGAGCCAGAGATCGTAACATTGTCTCGTTTTTTGATGCGCGAAGCAAATAGATCACTGCAATTCGCATATGTGACTAACAACAACACCGCTGCTATGAAAAAGAATATCGCCGAGACAAAGGGACAAATGAAACCGCGATACGATAGAAAGAGAAGCACTGCGGTGTACGCGACCAACGATGACGTCACCTCCAAAGTATGTCTATGTTGCGGGGGACGTCATGAAGTACCACAATGTGAACGGTTTAAAGCTATGAAGATACCTGAAAGATGGAAATGGGTTAAGAAATCCCAAATTTGTTTTCGATGTGTAAACAGAAAACATCGTCGGATACACTGTGACAGCCCGTTATGTGGTGTAGATGGCTGCCGCCACCCACATCATGCGATGTTACACGAGAACCGTGCCCAAACGAGCGAAGCGAGACCCACAAAGGAAGCCGAGATGGTTGCATCAGCTACTCACTCAACAGAAAGATCCAAAGTATTGTTGAAAGTGTGTCCCGTCACCATAAAAGGACCGAAAGGCTCGGTCAACACTTACGCCTTACTCGACGAAGGGTCAACTATAACAGTGATAGATGAAGATCTCGCCAATTACGTGGGTGCCGACGGGCCGACAAATAACTTAAGCATACGAAGCATTAACACGCAGAATGTATACGAAACGAAACAAGTAAATCTTCAATTGATCGCGGGGAATAAGAAGCGATTCAATATTAAAGCTAAAACTATGAAAAATCTTACGTTGAACCGACAAAAGATAAATAAAGAAACGTTAAACTATAAGCATATGCGCCACTTACGTAGCAAAGATCTATGTTATGGGTATGCCGAACCGCGCATACTGATCGGAGCGGACAACTGGCATCTTATAGTAACTCGAAGACTGCTCGAGGGTAAGCGTGACGAACCGATCGCTTCCCTCACGATGCTTGGATGGGTCATCCATGGGTCAGCGCCGCGATCGGGGATGCTGAAAGAGAGCGACTCGGTGTTATACGTAGACACACCGCGATGCGCGACGGTCTCGCGCCCTCTCGACCGGGATGATGCGCTTCACGAAAAAGTAAAGGAGCACTTCGAAATCGATTCCATAGGAATAAATAGAAAGGAGCGAGTCAGTCCGAACGACGCTCGCGCAATGGAATTGTTTAATACAACGACAAAACAAATTAACGGACGATATGAGGTGCGACTGCCGTGGAAACGCAATGATGTGAAGATGCCACCGAGTTACGAGTCCGCCGTGAAGAGATTGAAAACCATTGAAAAGAAGATGGATAAGTCAAGCTCTTTCAGAGACACATATAAAGCGCAGATAAAGAATCTGATCGATAAAAAGTACGCGGAGGAATGCAATGGGGAGGAACTACAGAGCCAACGATTATGGTATCTGCCCCACTTCGCGGTGTCGAACCCGAATAAGCCAGGAAAGTTACGAGTAGTGTTTGATGCGGCTGCCGTAACGAATGGAGTATGTCTCAATGACGAACTATTGGAGGGTCCCGACTTGCTTATAGATCTAGCGGGCCTCCTTTTACGGTTTAGAGAACGAGCGTTCGCCGTCACGGCCGATATCAAGGAGATGTTTCTTCAGATAAAGATTCACAAGGAGGATCAGCCGGCGCAGTTGTTCCTGTGGAGAGGCGACGAGCGAACCACGCCGCCGAAAGGATACAAGATGACGTCTATGATATTCGGAGCTAAGAGTTCTCCTTTCCTGGCTCACAGTGTACGGAACGCGAATGCCTACGCGCATGCTACAGAGTATCCACGCGCATATGAAGCAATCACTAAGAGTCACTACATGGATGACTATGTCGACTGCTACGACACAGAACAAGAGGCGATGGATGCGCTAAAGGAAGTAGCCACTGTGCACGCGCAGGCGGGATTCACGCTAACCGGTTATAACTCAAACGGACCGGAAGTGTTGCGAGAGCTGCCAGTAGAGAGCCGTGCCACATCGCCTACGCAACTCGCCATAAGCGAGGACCGATGGGGTAGGACACTAGGATTGCTGTGGGATGCGTCTACGGACGAACTGGCATTTAACACAGATATGGTGCGCGTGAATACGGACATAAAAGAAATGAAACGAGCCCCTACAAAAAGGGAGGCATTAAGCGCAGTAATGTCTATATTTGATCCGCTCGG